CTATTGGTCGGTAGAGCACGATGCGTATGCCTGTACGACTCGTACAATTTAAATTTTTTTTAACGTAATTTCGATTGCGATACCTTGTGTCAATCAAAAATCTGTTTTTTAATTGTGAAAAGAGTTTTCTAAAACTTCTTAGCCTCATAAAAAAGAGCAATGTTTTCTCTATATAAATTCCAAAGCAAACGGAATTCCATCAAGACAGACAGAATCGACAGCTATCCGGAGACACGTTACGATTCAAAGCTTGTATTTCGTGCTTTACGGAAGGTTACGAAACGAAAAGGGCTATGACGTCTAAAAAAGGGGCGGGGATTCGTATTCGGAACCGTATTCGTAGTGTTCAGATTGCTTTCTATTATTATTTTACAGACAGACTTCAAAACATGTTTCAAAAGGGGTTTCCATAATAAGAGTTCCATCACTAGGAATCACAACCACAACTGTCGAGATTGCGAAAAGGAGAGTGTCCCAAAGTTGGAAATATGGCTTTTAAGGAGATTTCGTTGTCATTGAAAATCAGGAACACCGCTAGGAGATATGTTTCTCGCTTTCCGCTTGTTCTGACAGCATCGCCGTATCGCTAGTGGCGTGGTATCGGTATTGGTAACGCGCTATCGGTATGGGTACGCCGTATCGGTATCGCAGTATCGGACCTGTATCGGACCTATCGGTATCGTCGTTTCGGTAACGGCATCGGTTACAGTTGACTTAAAAATACAAGTATTGGTTTTCCCACTGGTTCCGTGAAAGTGTCAGAGTAGATGACACATCGCGTGCAATTTCCTGCTTTCGATCTCCTCATCGGCATATCCGATCGAATCGAGTGGGCCCTTGGATTGTTGAGATTATCGCATTATGACTTTTCCTTGATTTACGATTTTTCCCACCGCATTACCATTCGCGCAGATTTGTTTTCCATTGTTGTTCTTCCTAATGAATAAAACCGCGGTTTTATTCCCGTTAGCTTTTCCCTCTGTTAGCTTTATTCCCGTTAGCTTTTTCCCTTTTTTTTTATTCCCGTTAGCTTTCCTTTACGGGACTGTTATAACACGCCGCCAGGTGTAACACGGGGAACCGGGAACGCAAGCCTTTAGATGTTACCGTAGTGCATATGAAGCCTCGTATTACATACTTGTCTAAGTGTGGACAGTAGAGGTATTTGAAAGGGAACAGACCAAGAATATGTGCGGGACTGGCCCTTTGACCGCTTCCTCGCCGCCGTACCGTTTGCTTGTTTACTTAGTCAGCTCCGTTCAATGCATTCAGAGCTAAAATAGGAAAGACAGTAACGTGAGTGGCAGGCGGCAGCTACCTCCATCTTGCGTCTGCTGGTCACTGTTATGTATATTATATGTCCACTGGTAGCATTTAAGTGAACAATACTGAGCAGACGATTCTAATCTCTGTCTGGTGGTATTGTAACTACAATAATAGCACATTCTCGTATGCTATAGCTACTGGGTCACAAAAGTGATTACGTGTCTATGACTGCCATCATTACCATGCATTTGTTCATGAAATCGGTTTTGCCATTACACTGCAAATTAAAAGCTAGCAACGAAATAATTTTATGTTGTATGCAGTTTATTAATATATCGGGTCATAACAGCCATGCAAAATTTTGATTGATTTCATTTTTTGTGGTGGTGACGTTAAACATGGTGACGAAGTGTTTTGTGCTGAACTGTCCAAGCGAACAAGGTACGAGAACAAAGAAACAGTCGCTGGAAGTTGGGCAGTCGCCAAAGTTATCGTTTCATCATGTTCCTAAAGAAGGTTACCCTACTCGCAATTTATGGATCCAGTTTTGCGGTAACTTGCGTCTCCCATCAAAGCATGATATTGTGTGTCGTAATCATTTCACGGAAGAAGATTTTGTACACCAAAACCACAGCGATTTTGTTGCTGTTACCTAAAGCCGTTTTTCCATGGTCGGAATTTTTTGTTTTTGTTTGTTTGTCAGTGTGGTCGTGGCTTATTAATTTTATAAATAAAGGTAGTAATGGTAATTATTATGCAGTGATTTCCATATTTACTTGAACCTAACAGCATAAATACCTAAATTATTTCATTATACAAAAGCATATAAGTAATTTCCCAATTAATAATACGATCACTACGAGTAAATACACTAGATAGAATGTTAAGCATGGCGTAATGGACATACTTTTATGGAAACCATATTGTACAGTAACGACGAATTAGTCCAGTACAGATATACGAGTATATGTATATTGAATACCGACTCGTCGTTACGGTTTTATTAATGGCATGTGCACACGCTAGTATCGACCAGTAACAGTTTCCCTAATATGCCGCTGTTACAGACAAATGTTACCATTGTTACACTTGTGCAAGGTAACAGGTTGCTGATTCGTCGGCTTCTATTTACTTACGAAGCGGCTGTTCCATGTTCAAAGCGGTAGGCCACGACCACTGGTCCCGCACATGGTTAATTGTTTTATGGCTCTGTCCGCACTTAGACAAGTATGTAATACTGGGCTTCATATGCACTACGATGTTACCCTGTTTGGTTTGCTTTTGCTTATAAACTCGCAACGACGAATAATCGTAGGAACCACCATTGATTTATCCACATCGCGCAGTCTTATGCGTCCTCCTTTCCGATGTTACGTAATAACATATGTTATGTAATTTTACCAGTTGTGTTTCGCACCATTTCCACCAACGGAAAGTAACCACCGAGTCAGTACTGCGAAGGCTTCCGAGTTCCGAAGCTTGTTCCTTACATTCACGTATCGTCTGGGCCAGCGACTGTTTTATTATGATGACAATAATCGCGTACTGATATCAGTTTTGGCAGAATGAAATGCAGCTGGGTTTATTCTTCGAAAAAAATATTCGGTGGTGATGTTTTCCGATGGGAAAACCAGCAAGACTCAGCCGTTGGATCTCGAGGTGTTCGATCTGGTAATGCTGCGGGAGAAGAAATTGTCAGTCGCATCCGTTGGGGTATGCGAAAATGGGCCAAGGTTCTTACACGTACAGATAAGTTTTACGCAGTGGGGAAAGTTTGACTTGGTCGAGACAGTATTCTTAAACGAAAGGAACGTCGCTTGCACAAGTGGCAGGCACATTTCGGCCACAACAGCGGTTGTGCCCTACCAAAACTGCCCAAACTAACTTTACAGTTTACAGTCACTTACTTCTCTCCACAGTAAGCCCGTGCTGAGCTGGACAGCTAAGGCTACCCTGCATGCAGAAAGCCAGAACAACCACGACAGCTACCACGAGAAGATGACCCATTACCGATGATCTTATAAAAAAAAGGGGCAGAAATATGGAAAATCGAGTTGAAATTCATGGAGCGAGACTATTAGCATTATTGGTTTAGGTGGCATGCGGTCACGGGCGGTTGCGCTATGAACCATTACAACGTAGAGTGGGTATCTGGACTCGGAAGTCTCGAGTACAATAACGACTAAAATGCTTTCCAAATAAGCTTATTGATGCCACCTGCCCGGACACGATGGCCACGTCTCACATGTCGAAGACTTCACAGATTTGGAACAGCCGGCGCAGCTGTCTATTGCCGTGGGGGTCTGTGACTCTGTAGCTCGGGGAGGGTTTCTAATTGTAAGCCGGGGACGGTCACTAATTGATAATTAATTGAATGATGGTGATTTTTGTACTCTTTATTATGATGGCAAACATCAATAAACTGGAGAGTTTTATTAGATTACTCTAACTGTAAGAAACAGAGGACACAACGACAATTCGCTGACCACTATCCTCCTGACCGACAACTTGCTGGCGACATTTTGCTGACCGGCGAAACGATGATCCGACGGTTTGTTGAAACGACAAATCGCTGAAGACTGCCTCGCTGAACGACTTTTTGTAAACACGAACAACTTGCTGACGACATTTTGCCCAAGAAACCTAAGAACGCTAAAGGAGCCTAAAGACCCTACAAACCTAAGATAAACAACAGGAGGTTAAGAAACTCAAAAAACCGAAAGGAAGTTGTCGGTCAACAAGAACATTTCGACAAAACGTCGGTCAGCAGTTTAGCAGAAAAGCGAAATATCGGGCAGCAGTTTGCCGGTCAGCGAGTTGTGTAAGTTAGCAATATGTCGGTCAGGAAACTGTTGGTCAGCGAATTGTGGGTCCCGGAGTTGACGTGCTACCTACGAAATTGCGGCATTGCAAGAAGATCAGGATAAAAAAGAATTCGCCCAACAGAATCGCTTTAACACATACAGTAGTACACAGTACACTTCCTCATTCTTTTACCAATACAGAACGTTTCCGGTAAATGTCAATCGTGCACACACGCTGCGTTTCCACGCATTAACGCAATACCGATACCCGCTTCTACGCGCCGGTCCACATGCCGCTGGTTTATTTTCTTGCTGTTAATGATTATTACTGGTTGCTACATATAGTTAATTCTTGCGGGTTTAGTATGTTATTTTCTGAAGTATTAAATTGTTTTTATTTAGTCTGCTGAATCTGTTCTTTAGTTTGCGCCGTTTCTTATTAGTATGTATAAACTCAATATCTGGCCATCAAGAATGAAAACAATCTGCTGTTCAGCGGCCTGATAAAATGATGAAATTTATTTTGGAAATCTGCAGCAAATTTTGGTTCGCTCATTTTCTTTCGTCTTGGTTGCGGTAAATTCGGGAAATAATTTTCAGTAAAGAAATATTGGAAGACACCTCTCACTTTAATTTCATTCCACAGAAAAATCAGCCGGTCGACAGAATACGAAGTTTATCCCCACGCATGATGCATCATTCATTCCCAAAATAAAATAAATTTCGTTTTTTTAACGCCAGCACAACATTTGGAAAAAGGTAAAAAACAAATTAAATTACGTTTTCTGCCTTGTTTTGTTCGTGATATACGGTAACCGCAAGATAGTATTTTTTTAAATAAAAAATACGGAATTTCTAAACGAAAAATACCGTACAAAATGACTACCGGTAATTTCATATTTTCATTCCTCAAAAATCAGCACACGCCTGCAGAATTTGCGAATTTAATTCCCACGAATCATTCATTTCCAAAATGAAGCTAATTTCCTCTTTCTCTGACGCCCACACAACATTTGGAAAACGCGTAAATAAACAAAAAAAACCGGATAAAAATTACATTCTGATCACTGGTATCCCATTTCCCCGCGGCAAAACGGATCCCCTAAGGAAAACACCGATTCTTCCCGATTTTTCAGAATAATCCCGACTTTTTCTGTATTTTTTCCGATTATTCCCGCATTTTTCCCGATTTTTATCCCACTTCACAGACGTAGCGTGCCGAGGCCACGCGCATCTTGACGACCGACACCTTAAACCCCGCCCCCAACAGCTGGAAGGCGGCGCGACTGAGCAGCGTCCCCTCGGCGGCGAAGGCGCACTGCACGGCCCCCTTGACGCGCCCCCGCGACTCCGGGGGGTGCTCGAAGCGCGCCTTGATGCTGCTCAGTTCGGCGGTGGGCGCGGGGACGCTCCATTTGGCGGAGGGCAGCGGACCGCCCGGCGTCCAGTCCCCGGCGGGGACGGAGGTCATGGAGGTGACCTCCACGTCGGGCTGGAAGGGGACGCTCAGCTGGCAGGGGGCGGCGTGGAAGGAGGGGTAGGCGGCGCTGCGGCGGTAGTCGATGCGCATGTCGGTGGTGCGCTCCTCCTCCTTCCAGTAGGCGATCAGGGAGATGGGCGCGGCGGCGGCGCCCGTGCCGCTAACCTAAGGAGTCGAGGGAAAATATATTAAAAATTATAAAAACACTTTTTTTTACCAATATTACCTGCAAAAAATGCTTCAAAATCATTACTACGTGCAATTATTCAGACCCAGGTCTGAATTTTGGTTTAATTCTAAGAGAATTAATCTTAAATTTAAACCTGACAACAAGAAAATCAAAAGAATTTTAAATTAAAACTACTAACAATATTACTAACGTAAAACAGATAAATATTAAATAAAAATTAGTAGGAAAATTCATACTAATAATTAAAACGAATGACAATAATAAAAGTAAAAAAAATAATACAGTACTTACTAATTAAAACTTATTGACGATTAACATTATTGAGAAAATTCTTAAAAAATACATTGCCGGAATTATTTTGTAAAATCAGTAATAATTAGCCTACACAATTAGTAAGTTGGAAAATAATTACCAATGTGCAAATGCTGAATTAACTGGAAAAAAACTATTAATACACTTCTAATGTTAAACGACATGTATTCAAAGTTTTGCACTCCAACTTTTCGCACCTGTCTATAAGCCACTACACTACGCCAACACCACCTTAATACGAGTAACAATCAATGCCTTACTGGATCGAAAATAGATAATAAAAAGCGAAGAAAATAATCGAAAAAACAGATACCATACTGTGTACATTTTTACAGTTCACGAACAAGCACCAAAATTGCAGTTTAATGATAAGTTTTTCCAGGCTTTACATGGTACTTCATGACGGCGCTGTTCTGGTAGAGCTGCTGGCATGTAAAATAGCTCTTTCGATTCAAGTAAAAAAAAATAATTGTTCTATTGTACGAATTGATTACACTAATTCGCAATAATTACTGCGATTTATTAAAAAACAATTACAAATAAATGTTTCGATTTCTACCACGTTTTCCTGATTTCTCCTTACATCGTACTTCATGACAGGGAATTATTTAAAAATTAAATCGAAATAATTACTGCGATTTACTTAAAAATAGTTAGAAATATTTGTTCTGATTTCTGAATCCGGTATAACTTCTGGCAATTAAAAATAGTTATTACGATTGATCTAAAAATTATCAGAATGCTGCAGTAACGGATGATTACAAATCCAAAGAAATTAATCTAATTTATTTAAAAAAACAATTAAAAATGATTTCTTCTGATTTCTAACTCGTTTTTTCCATTATCCTTACATGGTACTTCATGACGGGGATGTTCTGGTAGGGCTGCGGCTGCGCCTTGGCCTCCACCTGCTTCTTGAGCTGGCTGACCAGATTGAGCATGTTGACGGTGTACGTGATGCGGCCGTCGTCGATCTGCGTCTCCTGACTGACCAGGTGCCGGTTGGGCAGGATGTTCTCCAGCAGCGACGTCTGGGTTAGGGCGAAACTCAGCGGCGGATGATGCGGATTGGCTAGTAAGGTCTGCAGGACGCCGCTGGGGAAGGTCAGGATCAGGTCGCCCTCGATGCGCACGCGACACCGCGCTTCCTCCGCGCCGATGAAGGCCGCGGAGACCTTCTCCACGAACGCCACCGCCACGGGAATGGCCACGGTGGGCGCGGCGGCCAGGGGCGGGGCGACGGACAGGGGCGGTGGAAGAATGGAAATACCTGCAGAAATCCATTAAAATACGAATTCGAAAAAATTTAAATTAGTGAATTACAATTTTAAATTTGCTAACAGTTTATCGTTCGGATTTCTACCGAATAATAAATACAATAAAATAATTAATTATTTTAAAACGAAATATAGTAAATTAATTACAGTAGATGAATATCAAATTAAACTACAAGGGCGGTGGAAGAATGGAAATACCTGCATTTAATCATTATAATTTCTTACACATTTTTAATTAATTTTCAGTGTATTATTTTTCAAATCTAAAAATTACTTAAAAGTTAAAACTAGAGGTTAAATTACAAACATAATCCAGAAATTTTGGAATGTTTCGAAATCTGAAATTTTAATTTCGAATAAACATTGGAAACATTTTTTATTCGAATTTTGTCTGATAAATTAATATTTAGAAATAAACAGATAATTAGGGCATTAAATTAACGAAAGTGCTATGCGCCCGGAAATTTTCCGGCCGCATAGTTAATTTGCTGTGCGCCCGGAAAATTCGGGCGCGTTGTGAAATGGGTGTGTGTGTATTAATTTCACGCACACGTACCTTCCTACAACAAAAATAAAAACTGAACTGAAAACTCTATATACAAATGGATTGATGAAATGATGAAATACGTTATTATGAATAATAACGTATACACATATCTTCCATTTCGTAATTCTTAACCAGCTGTGTACGTGCACCTAGCGTAAATTATTTGTTAGATAAAATTAGAAGTACTCAGTACTGTACTTATTTGCGCACAGAACTGACAGAAATGGTCTTTGTATGATTTTTTGGGCGCCTCGCTGTTAATACTATTAGTGAAGTTATTAATTCAGACGTAAATTTTGAAAATCTGTTAATAACAATTAATGAGCTGTGCGACTGGAAAACGTCTGGTCAGCACTGATGCTGCTTTCAAATGCGCTCAGTGCAACCGGATGTCCAGAATTGTGATAATGTACAATATATGTTACCAACCTTCTGGAACATGCACATTCAACGTCCCACCCGGTTCAACGGCAAACAAATCTTTAATCTGCTTTACACTTCGTCTGATCACAACACGCCGTCTTTAGAACGGCATGTTTCATCGTACAATAATTATGGAGTCCATTTTCAAGTACATTTTCACGTTTAAAGTACATGGTTACGGAACTAATTATATAAGGTCCTTTAAAACTTATTTAGCTTAAAAAACACCCATCCTGAAAACATCTTTTGGATGAAGAAAATATGAACGCTTTTTTCTAGAATAAAATCGGGCACATCTCAGAACTCAAGATCATGAAAGATTTACAAAACCAACGCGAAGTTTTAGCTTCAATAAAGCCTTAAAGCTGACAAATCGACTGATCCAGCGTAGAAGAATCCTTTAGTTATGCCTGGTTCGGTGGTTCTGAACTTCCGGTGCGATTCTGATTGTCACCACCATTTTGCGCAAAACTGCTTGCTGACGGCCTAGATACGCTTTTGAATTCGCTTTTGAATGTGAATTCTGAATTCGCTTTTGAATGTGAATTCTGAACTCGCTTTTGAAGCTGACACTTTAGTGACCTTAAGCGCTAAAAACGAAATTCTGGCCGGTGCTTAACGGGATATTGGATTTCGATTTCAGGTTATAGTTTGATTGGGCTGCCTGCTTTACAATTTTGAAAGTGAAAATTAGTAAGGACTTACAATTTCGGAACTTTGTAGTAATCTGCAGTTTCGCAAACAAAACATATGTATCCAAGCACGTTACCTTGAAATACAATATTAAAAATTATGAAATATATTTGTAAGGGCATTTGGTGCTAGATTAACAAATCTGCATTGCCTTAAAAAATTTCGGCGACGAATTTCCGGGCGCATAGCAAATCGACTACGCGCCAAGAATTTTCCGGGCGCATAGCAAATCAACTATGCGCCCGGAAACTTTCCGGGCGCATAGAAGTGACCTTAAATTAATCAATTTACACAGGTTACAACAAGGCCCAAGGGTATCGAAAAAAAGAGGTCCAGGTTAATCTGGAAAATATTAATGGGTCTGGGACCGTATTTCGGTTGTTGTAAACAAAATAAACAATACACTTAATATACCAAAAAATTTCCCGCAAATATCGAAGAAATACTACAGCGTTTAGATTGCAGAAAAGCAGCTAACAGAGCGGCTGTGAAATGACTGATAAGAGGTGCACGCGAAGCAGAAATTGCCTCTATACTACAATCGCTACCAAATCTACTAATCCAATAGTATATCTAACAGGCAAAAAATCGCAAATATAAAATTAAATAAAATGATAATAAACGAACTAACAAACAAACTAAGCCTGAAAAAACGATAAAAATAGAAAACAACTTTCAAAATAAAAAAAACACACAAGGTAATTAAAATTCCAACTGAAATAAACAACCCACCAAATACAAGAAAATAAATGAAAAAAAATAAACAAAAATAATGTCGATAAAAAAATCGGACAAATAAATTCAGATAACAAAAAAAAGAAAACAAATGATGACAACCGGAGAATAATAAAAAAAAATCGGCTAATAAAATAATCGGAAAAGAATAATAAGATAACTGGAAAACAATAAAAAATCAGCCATATTAAGATTCAGCGGCAAATAATATTAAAAACAAATAATTATTTGCCACCCACCTCGACTGATGGGCACCACGGGGGCCACCGGGGCGGCGCTGAAGGCACTGAAATCCGGCGTGGAATCCCAGGGATTGCTGGCCACACTGCCGCCGGTCTTCTGCGGCGGGATGGGCGGCCCCCCGGAGGCGGCGGCGTCCACCAGGGAGGCGCTGCTGGGCGAGGGCGGCGGCGGGAACATGTTGGAGGCCACGGAGGTGGAGCGCTTCATCATCTCCTGCATCTTCGTCGTGGCGCGCTTCCCGCCCGTGTACGAGTGGCCCAGATTGCCCAGCATCAGCGATTTGGCCTGTTGGCGCAGTTCGTCGGTGCTGCCCACCGGGCCGGTGTGGTTGGGCTGCAGGGTGGCCGGTTTGATGACCACGTGCAGTTTCTGTGGCTTGTCGTCTTCTGCAAATTAAAAACATATTTGTATACTAATTTCATAATTATTCTGCAATTGTTTCATACTATTTACAGAGGTTGCGAAATTATTTATTATCATCGCCAATTAATGCGAAATCATTTTCCCAGCGGCCAGCATTTACAGTCTATCATTTTCCTTATTTTTATTTTACGTAAAAGTGATTAAAAAAATGTACGTTTGAAATAAGTACAAATTACAATGTAAAATTAATTCGGTTTATTTTGAATTTATTTTCACCACAATTACTTAATTAAAACCAGATCATTTTATAGTTATCTACAGATAATTCTCAATTATCATATAATTTTCTTCATTTCCCTGATTGCCGTATTTTAAACTGAAATAAACACAAAAATCTGCAACAGAAAAAAGATCAACCAAAATCAATGTAAAATTATTTGATTTCATTTTAGTATTTATTTGTACTGATTGTGAATATGACTTCAATCTGTTCTGAGATTAGTTTTTAATTAATTATCTACATCATTTCATAAATAAGCCTCAATTATTTCCATAATTAAGTGACAATTTTATATTCTCTTCTTGTGTATACGAGTATTATTCCAATCAACTAATATTAATGTCAAAATTCTAAGTGTTTTATTATTTTCAACTTGTGTTTTTTTCGAATCTCACCGGATTCGGAATCGGTGGTGGATTCCTCGCGGAACTGCTCGAAGCTGTCCTTGCGCACCTTCCGCACATCGTCCTCACTGGGCCGGATCATGAAGCCCTCGGCGTCCACCATGGGCGCGTGGTGGCCGCCGCCCGCGGGCGGGCCGTCGTGCGACGTACTGCCGAAACTGCTCTCGCTCTTGGCGTCCTCCCCGGCCGCCGTCGGCACGGCCATGGCGGCGTTGTTGGGCCCGTTCTTGTCCTTCTTCTTCTTCGCTTCCTTCTTGGCCTCCTTCTTGGCGTCCTTGTCTTTTTTGGTCTCCGTTTTATCACGGCGTGCGCGTAGGAACCCTAATTTTTAATCAAATATTCCCATTAAAAATTATAACAAAATAAATACTAAATTTTGAGTGGATATGCATGAATTGCGGACAAATATCAACAATTAGGGAGACATAGAAGCCGACAATAAGCCCCGAAACACCAACACAGCATGCCGTCAACCCAAACCAAATTAAAAATAAATAACCAAATAATGGTATAAATAATTTAAAATTATTGATCGATACATTTCGATCCACGAACTGTGTTGCGCGCTAAATCATTGTCCTCTGCACTGGACACATTGGTCGGAGTGAGATCACTGTGAGCGGACGAGGAGGATTTCGGCTCCCCAGCTATAATATCAATAAAAGAAAATTAAACATTTCTTCACTTCGAATAATGCAGTATTTCCACAATATTCCACTAATTTTGGCATAAAAATTTTAGAATAAACTTTCCAAATTCCCTTAAATCTTAAATTCAGGCAATATTCAGAACGTTTTCCTCAGAATAGTATTCAAAACACTTATAAAATTTGCTCCATTAATTTACTCAATATAGTATTTCATTCAAACGATTGTATAAATAAACCAGTTTAATAAATTCACCATTCAATTAACAACATAATAATTTGTTAGTAGTGGTTTAGGCAATTAAAAAGCATAAAAAATAATACTGTACAAAAATAAAATACTATACAAAAACAAGTTTTCAAAATTACTGCAGTATTAACATTATTCAATGCTTATTACGTCACTCACAATACAACTCATTCAATTTACAAGGTTTACCTAAATAATTCTATAAAATAAATTTTTTCCGAAGGATCAACAAGAAAATAATTTTTTTGGATGTCAGATACTAACAAAATACTCGTACACTAAACAATGCAGAAATAAAAGACTGCTAAAAATCTTATTTCTAAATAACCACAGTCGTATATTCACCTTCGTTTGATTTGGATGAGAAGAGATTGCGCAGCGAGGAGAACTTGCGGCGCTGCTCCACAATGCCGTTCTCCTTGTCCCTGTCTTCGGCCTCGTGGTCGACCGGCCACCGGTCGGCGGCCACATCAACCGGGACACTGCGCCGCCCATCGGCCGCCCCCGCGTCCCCGTTGCTCAGGGGCTCGTGACGCGACGACCGGCCCAGCCGGTGCCATTTACTCGCTGGCTGCGTCGTCGAGGATTTCTCGTATTGCGACCGTAAAATGCCTAGTAATTAATTACGTAGATTTTTGCAATATTTTATGAAAAATCCCTTAAAAATTCGGCATCCCCAAAATCTGGACTGGCTTTATATATTAGGTACCCAATCTTTGGGAGGGTAAAGGAGGGGCCAAACCATCCATCTGTCATCAATTTATAAAGAATTTTCATTAAAGAAATTTGGATCTATTTCTGAATAAATGAGAGTCACTTCAACTGGCATGCATTAAATTTTCAATAAACTACGCAAACGCTTGGCGGTTAAGACAAACACGTCAACAAGAATTAAACAATTATTAAAAATTAAAATCTAAAATTAATTCATTCGTTTTCATTATTAGTAACTTTTTATTTTATCAGAGTCAAATAATTCATAAAAATTAAACCCGATTTTTTTATTTGGATTTTTTTTAGCTAGATTTGGATTTTTAACTAGATTTTTTTATTAGGATTAAACCCACTGCAATATCCGTTAGCACAAAAAGTCAACGAGATTTTTCACAAAAAATTGTTCGCTAAATGGGATCTTATAGCCAACGAATTAAATCGCAAGTTTTTATAACCCGCTGGAAAATCAGTCTGCAAATACTCGTACTGTAAATGTAAATCTGTAATGCAGCTTTGCAGCACTAAATACATATATCTAACTCTTAATCAAAAAATATTAATTTTAACAAAGTAAAATATTAATATAAATCAAGAGCATTATAAAATAAAAATTACACAAAAATTCGTTTTCTAAAAATATTTTTCAACAGTATACTTCTATAGTTGTACATGCGTCAGTGTCAAAAGACTACTCTAATTGGTGACGGTTTGCTGCAGGGCATTTTTACAATTACGGCCAAGTCAACCGCATCATACCGCCTCCGCGAATTTTCCACGCAATTTCCAATTCAAGAAAATAAATTACCGGAAAATAAATTCCCAACAAAATGCGCAATCAACCCGAAACCAAGGACAGAATAACCCAAAGCAACCAAAAACTGGGGGAAAATAACAGCCAACACCGCGCGCGCGACCAAGCAAAAAATGGGGGGTTAGTGGGGAGAAAAGGGATAAATAAAAACAGGGGGATGCGCTCAAGCAACATAACAACTGAACTAACCTTCGCGTTTTTTAGGCGGCGGTGGGGCCGCCACCTCTTCCATCACCAGGGGCGGTGGCAGCGGCGCCGGGGCGGCCGGCGGTGGAAAACCGAAACCGAACGAGGAGTCACCGTCGAAATCCAGCAAACTGGCCGTGGTGGGCACCGGCGGCGGGATTAAGGGCGGCGGTTGGCTGGGCGCACCGGACGACGGGGCCTCCTCGAATTCGATGGGTGCTGCATTTTAAAAATTAATTATAAAAATGTTTTGGTATTAAAAATGATACATAAATATTCAAATAAAGACACAGCGAATTTTTAATTAAAAAATCCCAATGGATTTTATTAAAGAAAAATAATAATGTTAATTAATATTTTCGTAATGAACTTATTAAAATACGACCGGGACTTCTCGATCTGATGGGTGCTGAATTTTAAAAAATTATTTATTAAAATGTTTTGGTATTAAAAATGATACATAAATATTCAAATAAAGACACAGCGAATTTTTAATTAAATAACCCCAATGGATTTTATTAAAGAAAATAATGTTAATTAATATTTTCGTAATGAACTTATTAAAATACGACCGGGACATCTCGAATTGATGGGTGCTGAATTTTAAAAAATTATTTATTAAAATGTTTTGGTATTAAAAATGATACATAAATATTCAAATAAAGACACAGCGAATTTTTAATTAAAAAATCCCAATAGATTTTATTAAAGAAAATAATGTTAATTAATATTTGCGTAATGAACTTATTAAAATACGACCGGGCCTTCTCGATTTGATGGATGCTGAATTTTAAAACAAACTGTGTGAGATTTTACTGAATTAAAAATGCTACACAAATATAAAAAATAGAAACAACAGATTTTTATTTATGGAATTTCGTATTAAATTTTAAAATACGACAAGGATTCTTGGAATTCGCTGGGCGTTAAATTAGAAAAACGTTGCTGCAACTTTGCTCGCATTAAGGAATTTTATTTTGTTTTAAATTTTGTTTTAAATTTTTAAAAATGTTTGTAATACATGTATACCTTGTAAGAAAATTATTAAGAACTTTTATTCAGGAATTTAATTTAATTTTAAACAAGAAAGAAACCAGTAACTTCTGCCAAAAATGTTTTGTAATAAAAATTTAAAAAATCATTACAGTGCAAAATATCAGAAAATAAATCACCTGGTCGATCGGTGCCGGTACTCTTGGCTTCCACGAAGATCTGCAACAGCCGCTCGATGGTCAAATCACCGGTCTGTTGTCGTAGTTCGTTGCAAATCTAAAACCGCCAGAATTAATCAGAAACGTATGCCAACAGCAACAAATAATGAGCTACAACAACGAGCCTATGAATTTCACACGAATTTATTACGAATTACTGATATAAATTCCCAGCAACTTTGTAAATCCGCCATTGCATAAACTTTTAACAAGTATAATTTTGTATATTCTTAATTTCTAAACAGCACCTATTTTAATTTCTTTCAGACTGGTTTTCAACTTCATACTTTTACATATTTCAGATTTTGCTGTCTACGAATGACGAGAGGCTCCTTTAAAATTTTCAGTATTAAGGTTTATAATATTTATGGAATTTCTTCCTTTTTGAACAGTGTGGAAAATTACTGGAATTTTTCAGAAAGCCTTTGTCGAAAGCAGAAAAATATTAGGAATAAAAATGATGACAAAACCAATTTATTAAAAAAAAATTATCATAAAAGAGTACGAAACAATAATTTCGTCTGCAAGTTGAAAATCGACAATTAAATTCCTTAACAAACAAAGCACTCTGCGACGATAGCAAAATTAGTAAGACAGCTACAAAATGTCTACAAAGATAAAAATATCATGACCGAAGAAAATATCAGTAATTTTTCCATGTTTAAAAAAAACAAGAAAATATTAGAAAAAAGTTAGAACATCATTCATGTTCAAAAATCGTGAAAAAAATCGGCAACAGCATACGCTAATCGATTTACCTCGCGCAGATTATCGGCACAGTAATCCAGGACCTTATTGTAGCCGGTGGCAAACTCCAGCATCTGCTGGAGATGCTGCTCCTCCAGATCCTGGAAGTGCTGGCAGGTGTTGAGCATCTTGCGCTCAAAGTCGCCGCGAGTGGCGGCGTACTTGTCCAGCTGACTGCGGTACTCCTCCATGGCCTTCTTCAGCCGCGTCTCGGCGCGCTCCACATCGCGCGGTCCGGCGTTGTCCTTCCGGCACTTCTCCAGCTCCACACTGCGCGTCAGATAGGCCTCCTTGGCCTTGTGCAGACTGCCCGTTACGCTCTGGATCGACTGCACCACCGTCAGCGTGTCGTTCTCCGCGTCCTTCATCTGCACACCGGAAATCCACAATTTCATGGAAAAACACGAATAAAATGCACAAATAAAAATACGAAAATATCCCGCATTAAGAAAAATTAAATCCCAATGGGTTAACCGTCAATGTAATAAAAATACTGCGGTGCATTTGGCTGATATTGCAGTGTATTAATACATAAAAATGCACAATTATCTGGGGCGAAAATAAATGGGAAAAACTGGAAAACTAAAAAAATTAAATGATGCCGATGAATATTTAAACACATTATTTGCCTGTCTTCTTTAGACGATAATAAAAAAAAGGAAAATCGTGCACTAAAATAAAAACTGAATTAAAATTGAAAATAAAAACTGCATAACAAATTAATGCGCCTGACACAATTTCTGCACGATTGAACGGTAAAAAAACACACAAGTATTCAATAAATTAAGCGGCACATGCTGATTTATTCGAACCAGAATGACATACTTAATTCGTAGTTATTTACTCATTTTTCCTGGCTTTTATTATCCGAACAATTATCAAAAATCAGGACGGAGAAGAAATGGAAAAACATCAGAAAAATCTCCAAAAATATGGAACCTGAACTGATGCATTTACTAAAATAAAAATTCAGCTTTTAAATTTATTTTATTAAAAAAAATAAAATAAAAATACCAAAAAAAGCCAAAGTCTAGCAAAAACGAATAAAATACCGTTTTATGTTTGCGCGTCTGTTCATCCAGATATTTCTGCAGTTCTTTGAGCAGATCCTGCAGCCGGGTGACCATCTGCTGGTGCAGATTGGAATTCTTCTCCGTGGACGCTTTGAGCACTTGCCAGTAGGGCGCAAAGGTGCTACACAACCGATAAAACACCGTGATTACCATCAATCAATTAATCAATGACGTCCTTATCGCACCGCACAGCGCAAACACTCGGAAACGGCCGAACTTCAAATACAGGCTGTACGACGGCAACGAGCAGATAACCCTGGTAATTCGCCTTTCCAGCTTTCAAAATTAATCACGCAGTAAATCAAGGGAGATTTTATCCCCGGGGTTACAACCGCACAATAATAACGAACAATGCAATGCGTAAATTCAAAGGATTTTCCGAATTAATCAACCAACGTCATTTTGAAAGAAAATTCACAAATCATGTATTCTGCGTTTTATGGATGGAATAACATGAAAATAACGACGCTTCCTTTTAATCGGCTCTTTTAACAATTCAAAGGAAAAACATAATGATAATAGCCATTTATTAATATGAAAATATTTTAAAAATTCATAAAAAAATATAAAGAATACGCTGTCTGTAAAATGTTATACGGAAAACAAAGTTAAAATATGAAATATCATAAATTACACAAAAATTGCCTTTTACAGAAACTCGCTGCGACAACCAACAGTCAATTTATATCACAATAATATGACGTGCTAATGGATAACTCGGGTTTTTCAAAAGAATAATCAACAATTATTGAATTTATTTCACCGTAAGAATTCAGCAAAAACACTTAATTCTATTTCCGAATAAATAAATCAGCCAAAAATAAATGCATCGGTACTACGCTGAAATTTAACAAGAAGATCCATAATTTATTTTTTATTAAAGTGAAATTTAACAAGAAGATCCATAATTTATTTTTTATTAAAGTGAAATTTAACAGGAAGATCCACAATTTATTTTTTTTCATTTAAATAATAACTTATTGACTGAAATAATAATGCAGAAAAATCCAGGAAGATGCACGTAAAATCAGTAAAACGGTACCTACCCTTGCTGCGGATAGGCGCCGACTTTGGTGGACAATTTGCCCAGTTGTTTGGAATAATTCTCCTCCACCAGCATGCGCTCCTTGACGAACTCAATAAATTCACTGCAGGACTTCTGGCCGTGCTTCATGTTGTGGTACAGCACGTCGAAGCCCAGACATTTCTCGCCCTGCAATCAGTCAAATTAATCAATAAATAGACCGTCCATAAAAAATTATTTTTTAATTAATTTTAACAAATTAATCCACTTATCTGAAAGACTGCAAACATTTTATTGCAAAGCAGCTAACAAATTAGACTTTCTCAATAGCTAATTAATATATGTTTTATCGAAAACGTTTTTCATAAATTTCTGAAATTAAATTTTGTTTTCATAAGTAATAATCGATATAAAGGAATTACATCTGCAATTTATTCAAAATAAAACAATAAAAATCATAAATCGAATAATAATAATTTTAATTGAAATATTTTTTATTGAAAACATTTTTTTATAAATTTGTGAAATTTTATTTTCAACAATGATACCTAATTGTTAAGGAATTAAATTTGCGATTTATTCAAAATAAAAAAATTAATAATAATCGAATAATCATTTGCGAGTACTTTCCAAGCTGCGTCTCCTATTTCTGCCATGAAGCACACCATTCAGCTTTGCATAATCACGGCATTAATCCGAAATTCGTAAAAATAAACAACCACGTGCCAAATGTGGCAATCAAAATACAAGCGAGAGTGGAAAAAAACCGCTCGGAGCGAAAATTAAACGATTTTTATGACATAACCGAACGTGCGTTTTTGATGACCGTTCAATCCCCGTATCACTACTACGCTGCATAACTAGTACGGACAGGGAATTCCTGGACTCAGTCACGAATACCGTAAACATTCCAAAATAATTCACAAACTTATTTCAAAGTGGGAGCACGCAACCGGCCACAGCAGAAAATGTTACTGTGTTAATAAAAATTCACTTACCCAAAAGTTTTCCGAAAATCGGACCATGGTGGCAACCAATCCCCGGGCAGATCAGCCCAGTGCCTGTAGCGAAAAGGGGGACGTAACGCGGGGTTCGCGGATGGTCCGTGCACAAATGCTGCGCGTTCACAATCCGAATATCATCCGTAGTTCAGGCTGGGGAAGGGAATAATTTCACATCGCGAAACAAGCATTGAAAATTCTACATTTTGGTTCTGGGTGCATCGAACGAACTCCGAACAGATTTTCTGTTGTGCAGATTGATAAACAAAGTCAGAAATTTAAAATTCAGCTGTGCATATTTTGCATTTTGATTTGCTGAGTTGGCTCAGTTGGCTGCAATTCACAAATTCCAATTCCACTACCAACGCGCACAGCAATGGAATCGCTAACTACTGCCATATTCCGTTTCCACTACTTAATGGAAAGTGGAAACTGGAAAGTAATCAAAGTATGGATTGCAAGTGAGTTCCAAACTTCCAATAAGTACTTACATTGCGGCTTCTTCCAGTGCCACTCTCAACAGACATCAATGGAAATGGTATCTCCCAATGGAGAAAATATGAGTCAACCGGTTTCCGCTGTCTGCCCTAATCTGCACGCTGGCGATTTTGACGACCTTATCTCAAATTTCATTCGCCTATCTTTTTTCATTGAATTTACTTTAAAAAGCAGTTGTTCGTTTACGGCTGTTGCTGAAAATTTGTTACGGCTTTTTCGCCAGTAAAAAGTGTTTAATTTCAGCAAACGCCAGGAGACCATCCAGTTAATGCGTTGTGAGCTTGTGACGCGGAAATACGATTGCTGTTTACGCTTTGAATATTGCCTTATTACCGAACCGGCTATGAGCGCGAAAGTACACAATCATAAAAATAATTTATTGCCGTTTTTATCGTGCTTCGTAATTTTACTGTGATGGCTGGTGTACACAACGAACGATCCGCGTACAAAGTGGTGGTTATCGGTGAGTGGAGCAGCAATACAAGAAATCGCTGTATTGTACATACAGTAACTAACATAAGCAAGCAAATATTCGCTGTTTTTAGCGATAATGGAAACGCTTTCGCTAAATATTCCTAAACAGTTGTAGAAAATTATTTTTCGAGTGGATCAACGCTGGAAAATTGAGTGTGGCAGCTGGTTCTTTTTGGGCCTTTGGCGAAAACCATAATTATAATAAAAGCGTCTCTAATATGACTGAAAAATATTATCAACTGAAGATGCTCTTTCGAAATTACTTTTTTTTACTTTGGACGGTATGCTAACTAAGTTACGAAAAATAAATGTTTAAATTTTCCTATGTAAGCTGGCTATTCCTCGAATCTACAGAAAATCGCTAAAAAAGCAAACAAAAGTGTTTATCGATGTCAGAGCTTTTTAGCGATAAGCAGTGTTATGCCAGTTTAGAACAAATTTGTACGTTGCATGTATTTGCTTAGTTATCGTTTCATTGCCTTGAACAAACTATGATTCATATTATTACGCAGGCGACATGGGCGTCGGTAAAACGTGCATCGCCATCCGCTTCGTCACCGACGAGTTCACCACCCAGGAACCGACCGTGGGCGCGGCCTACCTCACCCAGTCCGTCTTAATCGGTCGCTTACCGGTCAAACTGCAGATCTGGGACACCGCCGGCCAGGAGCGCTTCAACGGCATCGTCTCCCTGTACTACCGCTCCGCGCGGGCGGCTATTATCGTCTACGACATCACGGACCGCAAGTCCTTCGACAAAGCCAAGGACTGGGTGCAGAAGGTGCAGGAGGAGGTTCACGAAGGGATCGTCATGACGCTGGTTGGGAATAAAGCGGATCTGGAGGAATTACGGGTGATACGGAAGGAGGAAGGACAGGCGTTGGCGGAGTCCTTCGGGATCGGGTTCCTGGAGACGTCTGCGAAAAGCGGGGAGGGTGTGCCGGAGCTGTTTGTGGATACGGCGCGGCGGTTGGTTGAAGACGATCAGCGGCGGAATGTTAAGCCCAAAAAGCGAGGGATCTCCTTGACGATGCGGGGCAGTGGTGCACCCGGAGAGAAGACTGGCTGCTGCTTGAAATTCTCTTGATAGCTGTGTTCTCAGTATTCACGGTACATGATCCAGTCCCAGCGTCACCCGTCCCCGTTTTGCCGGCTGCCTTGCCGGTTAAAATTTCTGCCTTGCCGGTTAGAAATTTTAACCGGCGTTTGAACCTTTAACGACCTAACCGATTTCAACTTAGAACGACTGGTCTAGCCAAAACACTGCCGTTGTTCTAAACTTCTACGACTTAATCCTGAAACTAAAATTCTAAATAATAAGCATTTGTGTTCGTAATTTTGTATCAATGTCGCAAAATTTGCCGACAGAACGGAAGACGCTCAGTCTCAGGCGTTCAGATAACGATTTGTCGCCATTTTCACGACCTGATCTAAAAATTGTTTGTCCGCTGTATGATGTCTACTTACGCGGGACCTGTGGCTGTAATGTAAGGTGGATTATTCTGCAGTGCAAAATACTTGTGTAAAAAAACGTGTTCTACGAGTACATCGTGCAGCGAGCGTAGAATTTACTTCAGTGTGACTTCCAGTTCTGCACAAGCGTTCTTACAAGAGCCCGGTGTTAATAAAAAAATTACCCAAATTTGTCTGTCGTACTGAGACAAAACATTCGCATTCTGACAACGGCAGTTATCCGCTTGTTACTACGCCACACATATGTAGACAGCAAAATGTTGGCACAACTGTTGTGGCTTTGAATGGCAGCCATCTCCGAATGGTTACTGAGGGTGGTTAACATTCTTGGGAAGGACATAGTTGTTTGTTCTTCAAATTCACGGTTTCTTCCATCAGGGCACGAATACGCGGTGAGGTGACCTTGGCGTCGATCATCTTGCGCAGCTGCTGGAAAAACACTTCCACCCTATTCTGGAAAGACACCGATCACGAATGAATCAGCAAGCAAAATAACGGCACCGCGACGATTTGCAGATTTGCTTCGCAACCATTTGCTCACGACTTTTTGCTACCGACAAGAACCTTTCCCGGTGACCGATTGAAACGACAAATCGAAGACCGATACTAAGAACTGTATTCGAACACTTGGAAATTTACCTGTTCTTTGATTTTCGAAGCACACGTCTGCAGTAGTGCACAGAGGCATTCCACCTTATCTTCATCGACACCTTCCAACGTTTCACTCTTAGGAAGCAGTTTTCGGAAGCAGAACAGCATGAATTTGCCACCTGACAAGCCCACCTTGTACAACTCGGAAGCAAACCTGCAACAACGATAAACATTAAGAGAATCCTAATGTTATCTTAATCAAGTTTATTTCTTGGTGTAGCATAGGTGCAAACCTGATTTTACGTAGACCACAACATACAAACCGAACTTAATTTACAGTGGCACAGGACTGTGTTTTATTTTCTTCTTGTGTGGAGGACTGGTTTGCCTACCACAGTCGATAGCCGTTAATTAAAAAGTTACTGTAATGTTTAACTTCCTTTTCCCTTCACACTGCATTGCGTAGGAACTTAGGAATACAAACAGAAAGAATTGGTTTTGATTGCCAATGATTGGGTAGTCTGGATTGGATTTGAAATACTGAATTTGAAAGAGTAAATACTTTGGATAAATTTCGCAGCAAAACAGCATCAGGCTTTCGCGCCCTGAGATTGCCGTTGGTTCACCAACCGAAACCGGTTGCAATTCATGGAATTCGTAGTTTTCGAGTTTTTAGTTTGGTAGTGAGTACACATATTTCTCTACATCTGCATTGCTTGAACAAGTACAACGAACGCAAATTTCTGGAGATATTCAGGCTAGTTATCAGGAAATCAACTGCCAGTGTGAAAGGGTTTCATAAATTTTGAATGAGTCAATGAGGCTCCCAGGCTTAACGTCAAGAAATAACGTGCGTTAAAAGCCGTTTTAAGCAAACACTCACCGAACGTTGGCAAGGAAGTTGCGCTTGACACGGCTGCGTTTCTCCTGCGGTGCTGGCGATTCCTGTTGGCCTCTACCCTTCTTCGCTTCTTCCTCTTCCTTGTTCGCCTTATCAAAACAGTCCTGCGCTTGCCGGAAGAAACAGGAACGGAATTTCACCGGCTGGTCTTTGGCTTCCACCTTCATGAGATCGCGGCACATCAGGGCAATGAGTGCCGCAGAGTTCCCGTCATACAATGCCTATAGGGCATCCGTAGATCACAACTACAGAATGATATGGTGGTACAAAAAGCAGTTTCTTGAGAAATAAATCGTACCTTATCGATAATTAATTTAGCGGTGCAAGCCATCCGCTCCTCGGTATCGTTAAACGGCATCCGCTTCATATCTGCGATTAATTTGGCGTAATTGCGGGGTGTTAGTTCGTGGAGTAGAGCGCGCACGTCCCGCAGAACTTTCTGAAACCAGTCAGACTGCAATCACGTCGCTTAAACATAAACAGCCACAAATTTTTTGCTACCTCATTTTCGTCGAGGCTTTTTTCCTGCTTTGCAAAGTGCCTCCCGGGAGCCGGTGGTGCCGTAGTGCCCGCCCCGGGAGCCAGTGGTTCCCTCTTAATGATCCCACTGATGCGCAGAGCCGCTTCGTGGGATAGCGTAGTACTGCCGCGGTGTTCCAGCTGCAGGAGCTTATCACGGCTGTACATCCTCCGCACCTTCGGTGGATTGCTGACGGTTTGTCGGCGCAGATGCTGCACTTCGGCGCCGGTCGCTACCGGCATCTGGACCACTGCCCGGACTTCCATTTGACGTTTGTCTGGGTTAATAACCAGCGGCGAATACACCCTGGTTTTGTCTTCCGCGACAAGGTTTGGTTTTTGATTACCTACAGTTGCAACCCGATCACTTTCTGACAAGCAGAAGATGCAATACGGTAGTTTGTACAAAATACAGCGGTGCCAGGCAAAATCCGTACTTTTTCCACACAGACTATGCGTTGTACATTTAACCGCTGGACCGTGAGCGCATACAGTGCATATCGTTAGCCTATATGAAAAACTGGCACCATAGTATTGGTATTGTACGAAACAACTGATGGTAGTCGCCTAATTTCTATCTGTAAACGTCTCTTATTTTGACGCACGGTCTACCATACTGATGTCGGATGAAAAGGATGCTGCCAGCGGCGCTCCACTGGATGCTGTCGGTCCTTCCTTGAGAATCTCGGTACCCGGTGGAATTAATCCGTCTATCTTCCTCTGTAACGCATTCTTACTGCCCTCCGAGCCCGTTGCAGCCTCAGATTCCGTCAACTGCAAATTATTTGCTACTTTCTCAATATAATACATCAGAGAAATCCCTAATGCAAGTACCCTCAACCGTAATCTCCTCCGAGGCACACTGGGCGCTGTCACTGGGGCTTCCGTAGCTCTTTCTAACTGACGTGCTTCATCAGCCTTCCATGTGGCATGCGACTCCTCCACAACGGTCGGAAGAACCATTGTGGTCTCGCGTCGCAAAGGATTGCTGTTTTTCCAAACAAGAACTTCTTCCAACTTAACACGAATACGCGCCGACGCCACCATCAAGTTCTGTATTTGCTGGAAGAAGGAGTCCAAACTTTTCTAGGCCAAGAGGAGAAAAACAAGGAGATGGAATACGTGCAGTTAGATGTGTATAAAATCAAACAGAAATTGCTCATTCAAACGAGAGAGAACCGTTGCACTTGATTCTTTGGTTTGGTTTGGTTTGGTTTATTGTTTAACGTCCCTAGATACAAGGAATCACTCCTTATCGTGATCTACAGACAATCAGTGCAAAAGAGAATTAAAAGAGCAACATAAAAACACTGAAATTAAGAGACACTTGCAAACTTTAAGCGTTATCGAAAACCGATCTTTAAAACTGATCTTGAGGCAGCTGTTCCTTAATCCAAGCAAAATTTTCCCATGATACTTCATCCAGGGCCTTCTGGAAGGTCCGTATCGAGCGATACGCTGTTACATCAAAATTCAGTTCATTCCACAGTTTCGCAGTCCAACATGAAAAGTCGACTTCGCTTGCTGGTACAGTTTTGCCACAGAAGGTGCTATCGGCGGGTAGAATCGGAAATGGATGTTCTGCCATGCGGGTAGCATTCCGTGTATTTCCTGCAACATTATCAACGGCAGTAACCGATTCATAGCTAACAAAAAGGAATCGCAAAGGGAATCATACCAAACACTAATTTGTAAGTTAAAACCAAAGAGTGCTTTATGCGGCGCAGCTGAACACTATCCCATCGGCACTCACGAAGACGACCACGGTAGTCATCCGTAGCGCAGCCTAAGCGTAAGCGTTTAAGAAATTTTAGCGCACAGTCCTCGAGATCGTCTTTGGGTAATTTAAAAAAGGATTTACAACGGGGCTGCAGTAGTCGAACAAAGGGAGAACAAGAGCCTTATATAGGCATATTAAAGCGGCCGAGTCGTAGTGGTAAAACATGGAGAATATGTAGCCGATACGCTTGCGAATTCGCATGCACAAATTCTCAGTATGTTCACTCCAACGCAATTTTCTATCAACTACTAATCCCAAATATTTAGTAACATTTTTCTGCTCAATTTCAACGTTGTTTAAATAATATTTAGGGACAAAGGTCATGTCGCGTTTTAAGGAAAAGCGCATGTGCACTGACTTTTTCGGGTTGAAACTTAAACTTTTTTTTACAGCGCCATCGTAAATCGCGTTTATATCTTCCTGAAACTTTTCGCGATCATCGTCATTTACGATTACCCGGCACAGGAAAACATCATCCGCAAAAATGAAAATTTTACTTCCGTTAGGCAAGACAATTGTAAGTCCGTTTATTTCACAGTTGAAAAAGATTGGGCCGACTATTGATCCTTGTGGTACACCGCTAGTGACAATGCCGCTTTCAGAAAAACTGCCATTTATATTCACTACCTGCCTCCGTTGTGTTAGGTAGCTGCTTATCAGCCGCACGAGATCGGTAGGAACAGAAAAGGAAGTCAGTGTATTCAACAGAGACGAATGATCGATTTTGTCGAAAGCTTTTGAACAGTCGAAGAAAACAGCATCGACTTCGTAACCGCTTTCAACAAAATCCTTAACGAATTTGGTGAGAAGCAAGCACTGCAACTGTGTATTTCTTTTCGCTCGATACCCGAATTGACTGTCGCTCAACAACTTATTGGATTCAAGGAAAAATGTTAAATAATTTGCTATGCATCGTTCAAAGATTTTTGAAATGGGATGTAAAATGGCAATCGGACGGTAATTATTCAAAACAGTTTGGTTGCAAGAGGATTTCGGAAGTGGCGAGATAAAGGAAGTCTTCCACGCGGATGGGAAAGTTCCAGTTTGAATACAAGAATTAAATATTTTAACTAAAGGAGGAACAATCTTGAGGCCACATGCGTTTAACAATGAATTAGAAATTTTAAAAGGGCCAGAAGAAGTAGAAAAACGAGACTGATTGATTGCATGAACAACATCGTCATCGTTAATGGAAAACGTCACAGAGGATTTTTCAGTATAGGAAGTATCTATAGAACAATGCTTTAAGCAAATATTTTGAGAATCCAAAAACAATTTATTAAATGCATTCGCCTTCTCAGTATCAGAAATCAGGATTTTGCCATCTGTAGTTTTAATAGGGGGAAATGGTTTACGATCAACACTACATTTTACATACTGCCAAAATTTTTTGGGATTGTTACGTGTTGCAGAAACCACATCAAGAATGTTATGCCTTTCATGAGCGCGCAGAAGAGCGCCGACTTTTTTCGACGCTGTTTTCCATAACTGTCTGGCACTTTCTTTTTCCGCGGGGGAATTTTCTTTCAGAAACTGTTTGTATAGTCTGTTACGAGAGTTCACAGCTTTTTTTATTCGAGCGGGATACTTCTTAATTTTTTTGGTGTTTTGTTTACCAAATCGGAAAAATAAATCAGCAGTTGAAATAAGCTTATTTTCAAATATCTTAGCCAAGATAGAGGGATCGGTGTGAGTTAAAATAACAGACCAATTTATAGAATTCAAAGCATTTTGAAAAGGAACAACTTTAGCGGATGTTATCTTCCATGTATCTTTTACGTACTTTGTTTCAAGAGACCGGGGTTCAACGTGCAAGTAAAACTGAAACGCAGAGTGGTCATTTGTCGCTGACGGGGGCGAAATGACTTCTACGTCCGTAACCAAACAGTACGTTGATACGCAACAAAGGTCCAGGATGCTGTTTCTTCTAGTTGGAGTATCTATTATCTGGCGAAAGTTAAATTCCTTAAGCGCATTTAGCAGCAACTGCGAAGTGCAGCTAGACGCGCTCAACGTATTCCAACATATATCCGGTAGATTGAAATCACCCATTAAAACTAGCTTATTACGCAACTCAACAGGAAACTTTTCTCGTAAATGTTCAATAAGACGAGGGATAACAATAGTTTTAAAAATCGGTCGAGCATAGAAAACACCAAACAAGCAGTCTAATGTAACAGATTCTACGAAAACAATTTCTAACTCATCGCACTCAAGGTCAGATCGCCTTTTCCCGCTATATTTTTGTGACATTACCAACGCTACTCCGCCATGACTGTCGTTAGAAATACGAGATTTACGCCATTTACGGAAAACATTAAAATTATCTAAATCTGCAAACAAATTATCGTTATAATTTTCACGATCGAAAGTTTCTGTTAATGCTATGACATCAGCCTTCGAACAAAACTGCTTTACATTGACATGTTTAGAAAGAATGCCATTTATATTGCAACACTTAATTTTAATTTTATGAAAATGTTTAACAGAGTAATCACCATCGGCATTTGAGTTTGCCAGATTTGTAACATTTACCGGTTTTTTGGGTTTGTGGCAGAGTTAACGCCATCTTCCGTGGCCTGCTGACGTGGCGATTTGCAAAACTTAGCTATGTGACCGGTGTCTCCGCAGTTAAAACAGCGAACTACATAGTGTTCAATCGGACAGATGCAAAAGTCAAACCGAATACTACCGATTTTGTCCAGATAATCCGCGCCATCCTGAGATGTCTCAATTACCATAGCGCACGTTTTAACATTTTCAGATTTACCGACCAATTTTTTAACAACTTTAACATCGCACGCTTCAGGTAATTTAGCCGAAATAATCTTTTGAAAGTTATCTACAGCCATTCCTTTCGGTACGCGTTTTATTATCAGCTTATGTACACGCTTACGAGTCTCACTCACCGTTATTCCAAGATCTTTTTTGTGCTTGTCCAATTCTGCTCGCGCGGCCTCTCTGTCATTCTCGTTACGGAATCGGATGACGATATTGTTATTCTGCGTACGACGAACCTGTTCCATATTGAATCTCTCACTGGCGTTAGGAATGCACTGGGGCAGCTTTCTTTCAATTTCATCAACGACATCTTTAGTACTGCTGGCATCGGGCGTAGTTTTTTCCGCTGAGACAACAAGCGCGTAGGTTTTTGCAGTTTTCGAGGCGGCTGGGTGAATAGAAGATCCGTTCTTTCTGGCAGTGGTAGCGACATTTTCAGGGGCACGAGGAATACCAACCGGCGCAATGGGGATCTGTTTCTTCTTCAGCTCATGCACTTCTCGCTCCAAATCCAGAATTCTGTTGTGCTGTTCGATGTTGTGGCTGACCATGCGACTCATTAGAGGCAACAATTCGTCGAATACTGACTTCAGGCTTTTATAAGTAGGTGTTGTGGTCTTTGAAATTTCATCTTTGAAGCTCTCCAGGAGTTCAGGAATAGTCCGTTGAGACGATTTGGATGCCGATTTGGGTATCATCTTGCATGGAATCGGAAAACAACGAGGCAAACGATAGGGCGAAAGGTCACCAAGACCGGCGCTCTGTTAAACCCACGATTCTTGCTGTTTAAACGTCAAAGCTTAGAAGCAGGTAATGCAGTGAGCGTTTCATCTGTGCCGATTCATGCAATGCTCGGGAAAAACATCTCATTTGATATTTATACTCGTATCTGTTAGCGACGGTTGTTTGCACGAATGCAGAATAAGTCAGTTTTCAAAACAGAAACACTCACCTGGTCCTCAATTCGTGGACTACATGTTTCCAGCATTACGCGCATGCACTCCATGTTCCCCTCGCTGAGGTTCTCCGGTTGCAGCGGGAGCAGCTTGTATAAGAGGCATATAACGACGTGATCCACAAGCGCACCGTTTACGTGTAACTGCGACAGAAACCTACGAGTGAACACGGTGCTAATACACATCATCTTGCACGAACACAAACAAAACGAAGAAGAAGTTAGAACACGGTACACTGCTATGATGTTAACTGTGTTTACCGCGTAAGGGCCAGATAGCGACTGTGAGGATTATTCAAGCGGATTCGCATAGATTCTGGCTCCTTGTACAAACACCGGCTGGTCTCCAGCAGATGGGCCTTCTCCCAGTACGTCAGTGCCAGGCGCTGTACAGCTGTACCGAATCGCAGGGGCTGGCCAGCAGAATCCGTTGTCTCGAAATCGGCCAAGCGAACGCAGAGAGCGGCGCAAGATTCCACCGGATACGGCTCCGCTAGTGCCTACAGTCGAAGACAATTCTTAGCGTGGTGTTCGAAAGAAACGGTGACGACTGGCCAACCTTGTCCACAATCAGCGCTGCCGTCGACGTCAAGCGCTCTGCGGTGTCAAAACAGCAGTGGCCGATCATAGACGCGGCAACGAGGGAGGTATTGTCGGGATTGAGGCTTTTGATCAGTTCTCGACAGTCCATGACAACGTTCCGGAAATGCACTTCCACAAAGATGTCCAAAAACTATGTAGCTAACTTTTACTAGTCTTACTGCTTAGTGCTTACTAGAAGTATTCATCAAGAGCAGACAACTCTATTAACGTAACTTCCGACGTCTGGTCGATACAGAGTACAAAGTAAAATTAATATTATTCAGTCAGTAAAATTTACTTTAATAACAACTATAGTTTCCTCATTCTTGCATATTGCGTAAAGGTACAGCGAGAAATACTTACAGGTTCACGGGTTCCGAGATAAACTGCTTACCACGGCCCGCTACGTCACGCTACGCTTTACGCGTGCGTAACATGCTCATGCATGAATATTCACCGAGGAAATTTAACACATCCTAGTAACCGCATGCTGTTTGCGACACGGTTTACGCTTTACAGCTCCTGTAAACCGTCGGATTTGTGTTTTTGCCAAGCAGTGAATGTTTTTTTGTGAACCAGAAATCGATGACGGCGTTGATTGTATCTGCGCATTGGTGTTAGGCTGTTAGCAGACGTCGCTTCTCTACGAGTACTGTTGAGAGCTGTCGAAACAGCACTATGAACGCAACATCGGTATATTTTCGCAAGCTGTTCTCGGGTTCCCGCAAAGTCAACTACGGCAACACGGTACTAGTGAAGCGCGACGACGGTCAATGGTGGCTTGGGTACGTTCAGGACATTGAAGGCGACCATTTCTTCGTTGACTTTGATGCTGCTACAATCAATCCCCAGTGGATTCACTCGAGGTACCTTTGGCCGCATCACTTCCTCAGCAGGGCTTCAGGATCGCAGCAAAACTCCCCTGTTCAGGTAGCGATGCGTTTAGCCGAAGCTAATCCCATGATTTTTCGGCCAGCCACCATTATAAAGGAAGATCACAGCATATTCTTCGTGGTTCGCCTGGACGAGAAAGATTCGCCGGCGGTGAATTGGCCTCCGACATCACCAGGCAGCCGTATGGTGCTGCGGAATCACATCAGTGTCTCGCTATCGATGCCAGGCGACGACGACAGTTTCTTTGGACGAACCACTGGGTTCTTGTACAGAAATCATGTCATCAGCTTTCCACAGGCTCAGCTGCTGCCAGACTTGGATTTTATCCCGAAGTTTATGGTCAGGACATGTCAACTGTCACTACCACATGGCGATGGAGATCGCGATTCGACCTGTCAATTTTATAAGATTGTCTGGGAGGTCGGTATGGACTTCAGCTGCACAGGAGTGCACGAGTTTGCATTGGGAAGTCACTATCATATGAATATTGGTTGCCGTCTATTCGCGCGGCTGGAATCTAGTACAGTCAGTTTTATCTGTGGGGAAATGCACTACGATGAAGCTGGACGAAGTATGTTCTGGAATCAAGATTCCTTGACTGAGGCATGCGATAAATACCTCGCGTACAAGCATACGGCGTCTGTTTGCGTGGAAAGTAATTCACTCAATTTTGGGCATGCACACCAGAATGGTAAACATGTCATTAATGGGAAATATGACTATAGGGGCAAAACTAAGCGTGTTCCACGGTTCCTCTGTATTGCTGCCGTCACCCGCCTGGAGTGTGACGTTACGGCAATACATATGGTTAAATCTGGCGCGGTACATAAGCGCCATGTTCAGCCACAACGTAAAACTCCAGCCGGGTGACGGCAGCAGTAGCCGGAAACGGTGGAACACGTTTAGTTTTGCCCCCTATATACAATTTCTGGGGTGCAAGCAGGGCCGTAGCGAGGGTATAGGCGCACTGGCGCGCGCCTACCACTCCTCGGCCAACTTTTGACTAATATTTGCGCCCGAAACTGGCGCACAGGCGCACGGGCGCAAAATTTCTAGATTTTTCAAAAGGCGCAGCGGGCGCCACTGGCCTTGCGCCCGTGGCGCAGAGTGGACTTTGGCCGGATGTGCCTTGGTCTGATGTACGGCGATCAAGAACTATAATAATTAAACTACATTTTATATTAATTAAAGTATTAAAGCGCGGCTTGTTTATACGGGCGCAACGGGCGCAGGCTTCGAAATTTATGGGCGCAGTGGGCTCAGACTGACCTTCGAAGCGGGCGCAAATGGCGCAGCCAAATTGCGCCTACCCCATCCCACGGACCTCGCTACGGCCCTGGGTGCAAGTACTTTCACTCAGAGCCAGAAGTGCAATGCAGCGTTAAAGAACGCATGCAGCGTTAAAGAACGCATATTTTACGAGTACATACAATCCATTCAGGTATGAAAACAGTATGCAGCGGTAGCACAGCAACCACATAGCGCAAAGTCCAGACAGAGTGGAAACATTAAAAACAGACAGTTTAGCATCCAAACTAACGCTGATGGAGTTAATGTTTTAACAGCTTTAATAGTCTCCGCCAGGATGACGATCTGCATCGGTGGGACACCGAGGATCTTCGGCAACTGGATATTGCCTCTTTGACGAATGTGACTTTCGCAGCTCTGGATGGATTGTACAAAGACTGATGCAGCTTTGAGAAAATTATAAACCTACACGTAACAGTCAGTTGGTAACTATTTTGGTTTTCTGGGTTTCAATGCCGACTATTTGTACAGAAAAAATAACAGTGTTGACAAATTTTCTAAGGTTTCATACCCTGTTGTGCTGCTCTCTGTTATGCTGTTTTATTTTGGACTAATTTGCTTCAGGGCAGTGTGAAAAAGAAATAAATTTTGCAGAAAAAGGACCTAAAATTATATGTTTATTCCATAAATTCTCGATGCTGTAAGGCTACAACGTGACTGCGAGAGCCGGTTTCTTCGGACAGCGAGCGGACCCGCTCAGTTTCCACTGATCCAGCCTACAAAGCCGGAAGTCAGATGTAGCAGAACTGCAGCCCATTTGTTTTAGACTAAGATAAGCCACACTTTATATCCACACACAGACAATTTACTATTTAAAGCAATGACGAGAGTGACAGTCGCAAAAATAAAAAAGAACACATTTTACTACTGTAATAAAATATACAGGCCAAGAAAGAGGACGGTTTGTATGCGCTAACAGGGTCACTATTCACGGGATTCTTGTTTCCTGTTAGGTTCGCAGTAACAAAAGAGAAAGATTCTTGTTTTTGGGATGAGTATCTTAATTGACACTTTATCTTGTTTTGATCGGATTGTTTACGAATGATAAACTTTATTGACAAATTGTACAAGCTAAAAGCCATTTACACTTGAACTTGGTAAACCAATTTAGAACAAAAAGAACAATTCTTCAAGCTGTTTAGAACACCCAACCGTTCCCAGAACAGAAGCAGCGTTCCCGCGCTGAATTTCCACACTTAGACGTTGCCACAAAAATTCGGTGGCGCGCGCTTCTCCTGTTTGCTCTTTAATGCGTCGGCCAACTTCGCTGATGAAATGACGGGTACTACCGCCGCAACTTCCCATCGTTTCGAGGGCGTCTGTTTTACGAATGATTAGATCTGGACTTGAGCCGCTTTTAACGCTTCTTTTTCGGTTCACAGCCGATAATCAGATGCAAAACAGATACTGCACGGCAGGCATGTGTAAAAATATGAAAATTTTGTTTCGAAAGACATAGACGCAGGAGTTTGAAAATCACACTGCTTTGATCCAGACTGAGAAAAGTTCTGAAGTGGTATTGCTCTTAATACTCGCGTTGCTCAAAGGTGCAGCCAAAATCGGAAATATTGTGCCATCTCGTATAATGTATGCCACGTAATCATCACGATGTATTCTATGTTTACCATCGTTGTTTGCGGAGTATTTGCTTTAATGACTGGTGTTGCTGTTGCGACGGACGTTGCAGAAATCCTACCGTCCACCTTACCCTTAGGAAGTTATTATACGATGAGTGTTAAATCTTCCTCAAGACACTCACTGGACCGTGGTGATGCCGATAGCGGCCCGTATAAGCTTGTCGAGCGCGATATTATTGTAAGCTCGGTACCGTTACACCTATTTATTTATAAGCAGCTAGGTATTTGAGTTTGTGGCTATATTCACCTAGCGTTATTTTTCCGTAACACTGAAACAGTTTGTCCTAATTCGTTTTAGAGGAGCTGCCTGCTGATGCTAACATAGCCAACTTAATATTCCCTGAAGCATTCGTTTTCTTTTCCCAGTATAGTATTGTCTGAGTCGAAAGTTTTGACTGCTTCGTTGTTTTCACGCATAAAGAATTTGTATAGTTATTAGATGGACAAGTGCACTGATTATTTTGCCAAATCGAACAATATTTATTTGCATTATCAGTTCGTGTTTAAGTTTAATGCAACACGAAGATGCGCGAATAAGCCGTTATAACAACTATAGTTTTTTAATTTTCACCAAGCATTTATTTAAGAACAATACCGCTGTTTCAAAACACTGGTGTAGGCTGTAGGGTTGCCATATCTAGCATCATTCTGTGTAGTTAGTATACACATAATTCCAGAGTTGACTCTCTACTTAACTAATAATGGTAGCGCATGATGCATCTTTTTGCCTTCGTTAGATGTTGGGAAATGCACTGAGGAATGACAGCAGTCGATGGAAGGATGGTGTGGTGGTGTACACTTTTGGGCGGCGTCTAGGTATAGTAACATTTCATGATCGGGAGTATTTGGCTAACACAGATGTCCACAGTGATTTTCGCAGATCCGGAAATGATTATGAGAGTTCCATACGGCCATGACCAACCTCACCCGGGAGACGAGCAACTGTATCCGCTTCCGGAATAGGACCGACGAGAGCTCATACGTACTGATCGATTCCGACGGCAGACCAGGGTAAGTCTTGAATTCGCTCCTGCCTTGCATTACTTTGCTCTCTTTACTTTGCTCTGTAAAGTGGCATAAAGTAGTTCAAAACGGGTTTGGGACTGCGCGAAAGTAAATGTTTCAGCAGGGGTTTGTTTCGTGAAATGGATATTGGTAGTACAGTCATATGCAGTGATTCTGCGAACAGTTATACGGTACAGTTATACAGTCATATGGTTTACGGATAATTTCTGCAACGAACGGAACTTTTGCAGGTGCAGATCACATGTTGGTCGACAAGGCGGAGAGCAAAACATCTTTCTACACACCGACTGCCAGGTCAGCGATATCGTGCATGAACTGTTGCACACGCTGGGCTTCTTCCACGAGCATACACGCCCGGATCGGGATCAGTACATACGAATACGAACCGGCAACATCAGGTGTAAGTACGCAGCAAATAATGACGAATGACACCACGATTTGCCAACGATTTTCTTCTCTCAGCGACGCATCTCCCGGACTATGAGAAGCGCTCTAAGAAGCAAACGACCCAGCTGGGCTATCCCTACGATTTCCTTTCAATTCTGCATTATGCCGCATTTGATTATGGCGCAGCCATTAACACGAGTCAGCCGGTCATCGTCAGCTTGGATCCAAAGACAAATCTCACTACAAATACAAGGCACAGTGCATTAGATGTACGGAAAATACTACGTCACTACAGATGCGAAGTTCGCGGTAGGGAAAATATTCTATGTCCGACCGTTGCTGCCGGTTAAAACAGTCAACTATCTAGTGTGTGTCTTATGGTGAGTTTCCCCACAGAAATATTTTTCCGTTGTTGTAGATATCAGCACGAAAGCTGCAGGCGGTTGCACTATGCACGATAGATTCCTTCAAATGGACATCTCCAACCCTGGACACGGAATATGGCTGGGCTAATGTTATCCTGGAAAGCGAAAACGCCCGAGTTGTACAAAATCCGCGAGGAACCCCGTCTCCAGGTTTTTTCAGCTGAGTTCCAAGCAGGATGATGCGCGCGCTTTCACCGCCATTCTCCGTAACCGAGTACAGGGGTTTTTCAAGATCTGCTTGCTTTTTCTTTTTCTCATTATAGTGCTAGCAAGAATATTCAGCCCTTAGTCGCCCATTTGTAAGCGTGGTAGCCTGAAACAATTACTCCAACTCTGCAGTTCTTTAAACATGAATCCGTAAATCAGTTGAAGTTTTTAAGAACAATAGTTACTGTGTTGTGCAGCCGCCGCGAATTGCTTTTTTTTCCAGAATCTTGTTGGTAGTTCCTGTTTCGGTACTAATTGCTCGAGTTCATCCGGATCGACCATCATAGAAGGGTTAGGACCGCGCTCGAATTGTTATTCAGCCACTGAGTTTTACAACGAAAAATTCTAATTCGGAAAGCCGAATGTCTGCGTGATGGTTAAAAATTCTAACCATTTTTTAATGTTTGGTTTCTTCTCTTCCATTCAGTATTTATCTTCCAAACTGCAGTTACTAGCATTTTGTAATTGAATACGCCACTGTCAGATGCTTGTGTGCTTGTGGCAGCTGACTGTTTAAGGTGATAAAAGACCTTTACCGACTGACAACTATAGATACTAAGCCGTTCATCTGTTCTGCTCATGTTGACCTTGATACTTCACTCAGGTATCCTAAAGTCCTAAATATAACAACTCCAGAATTCTGTGCTTAGGAGAAAATCCAAACGACTCTGTACAAGTCCATATCTCCAAGTACTGCGCCACGCAGCCATGCAATATATTGCTCAGCAAATGTTGAACCGGACAAAACGCCGATTTCTTAAGGGAAGTGGGCCGGTACATGGTACCAAATTCGTGTGCATGCACGAATACTTACACTTTCGCGCACTCCCAAACACATTTTTGTTTCGGTTTATGACAATCTGTAACCAGGAGATTTGTATACACTGGCGATTCGGCTGTCTACCTCAGAGTTGGAAAACACTAGAACTTCATTATATTCTTTTATCAGTGAATGAGGTCGCCCTGCACCGTCGAAAAATGAGCAGTGGGAAGTTATGAACGAAAAGAACAAAACAGTACACACTGAAACGTCACACTCCAGCCGAATGGCGGCAGCAGTGCAGGGGAACTGTGGAACGCGTAAGTTCTGCGCATGACACCACGTAATGTAAACAATGTAATAATTATATTGTACACGATACCTTCTTTTCGTGTACATTGTTATCCCATCAACTACTCTGTTTTACCTGCTGCATTTCCCGGTTGGACAGTTGCACTTAATACCATTCTACGAGCTAGCTGGCTACTGATCCACTGTTACATTTTTATAAATACCGGTAATTACCTATTCAAGTCAATATACTGTGTCCTCACATACGCTAGAGAAAGGATTTAGCCGTTACCCAGAAATATTGTACACAGTCACAACTTTCGAATAATCAAACAAACAGGCAGCGTTTATCGCGTAAAGCTTACTCAGCGGAGATACCTTTCACTTCTTAGGTTCATTAGATTTTCTGAGTTTCTTGGGTTTCTTAGGTTTCTTAGGTTCAAAACACATATTTACTAACCTAAAAGGAATCTTTACAGTAAATATATTTAATAAAATTAATCTAAACTGTTTCGCCCGTTATTGAAAGAAAAATTGGAGATTGTTTTAGATTCTTTTAGTTTGGATGGCTTTTCATTATGTTTTACTTTCATGCCACAATATAACCGAATTTGTATTGTAGAAAATTTGTGGTTATCAGCAAGCCAGAAACCGACGAAAGGACATCCAGTGGGAAGCGGGAAATGAATGGCATTTCGCCCAAGAAGGAACAGATATGGTTGACTTTCGTAAGTTCGTACATATTAAATTTCCCGAGGCGTGTTTTTTTCTTTGTATCCGAAATATCCCGCCATATCTCACGGTATCCTCTACGTATGCCTCGTGTACCCTTACAGTTTTTGACTACTTTTTCCTTGTTGCCATATCCCACCGTATCTCTGCAGAATCCTTTACGTATCTCTTTAGAAACCCGCCAAAAAAAACCGAAGAAAATCTAAGAAACCTAAAAAAATTCAAGAAAATTACACGATACACAAACGACACATGGAGGATACGCAAAGGGTACTGTAGAATATTCCAGCTAAAACGATTCACCACATTAGCAAAATTTTCGATACGCGCAATTCGCAAAATACATCGTGATGTTTGGATGCATATCACCTTCGAAAACCACTTTATCCCACCGTATCTTTAACGTATCCTTCAGGTATCCTTTATGAATCCTACTGAACACAGGTTTAAGGGTCATCAGTAACTGCAGTATGCAGTTACTGATGAGTCGATGACCCTTGTACCAACCGTGCCATAGGCGAGAAAGAATTCCAGGAATTTATCGACGTCAGCCGAAGTGCATCAATGAGTTTAAAGTACCCAAAAAGTTCTATCACTTTGGTGTATTCCGAAAGATATAAAAATACGTTTTGTGTTCATTCCAGCAATTGGAAAAAAAGCTGCAGTCGTTGACTAAAATACTGCAGAAAACGTGGTTGGTATTACTTTGGCGTGCCTATAGTTTGCACTTTGTGATTGTGATCCCTGATTGCATTTTTCTTTGGGTCGATGTTTTGTAATCTAAAAATTTAGTACAACTGCCGTACGTCGCTGTCTAACATAATTATAACAACTGCACAAAAACGTTACTATATAAGTGAATGCGTGTAGCGGACGGACATTGTTAAAAATGTAAAAACCGGTTCAATTCAACTGATAAAATTAATGATAAAGCAGAGTGGATGATAGTCCGTCCAGATAGCAATTCTTTTAAACAATTCTAGTTAATTCGGCAAAAGCACCGTTCTTACTGGAGTAATAAAATTATAGGTGAACGATCTTGTTAGAATAACTGTTGCCGCGCAAAAATTGCACCGAAGAGAAGAGCAATGTCTGAAACTTTAGTAATGGTTGCAGCGGTGAATCGGTGGTTAAATTCCCTGCTTGCAGTTTAAATTATACCTGTAGATAGCCTACTGGGGCACGCTGAGCTAACAGTAGCACTGCTTTTTAGTCGTTTAGTCGTAAGTTTTGCAGTTCACCTAATACCATTCGCAAATAACATGGGTACCTCAAGATGTCATGTTAAGATCCTCGGTGAGTGAGTGCCGGAAATGGGATGAGAAGCCGAGAAGAAGGCCAGAGCGGACAGATGTCCCCATTTCGATTAGGAGGTCGAAGACACGCGCCCATTGCTCCCTCTGACCTTCCTTCTGGCCACTTGCCCCTTTATTGAATTCGATTCACAACAAACCGGTTAGAAAGGACGGGTGGGTGGTAAAAAAAAACTGCACACGTTATCAGTTGTCAATTTAACAAAAATTCAGGTTATGGTAGTGGCAATACAGTAAAACCTCTCTATAAAATACAGGCACGGTTCCATCAGTTTCGTTTTTTATACCGGGGTGTATTTTATAAAAGGCAACTGTCCCCAGGGGCGCTGGTGTATTTTTTGAGGTGGGGGATTGGGCATCGCATTATTATATAAATGCAACATTACGGCATTGGCAACTAGCAAGTACCGAGTAATTGTAGTACAAACTGCAATACATTACTAATTTGAATTACATAAAACATTTACTGTTAATATTTATTTTTACATAAGTAATTACCATTAGGCATTAGCACAAACAACGTTTACGCTGCTCGCTATTGTTTGACGATGTTCAGATAGCTTTGCATTGCATCCGGTTGCTTTTGTATAACAATATTTAACCGGATTGATTGTTCACAGGTTCACAGGTTCTCTGCACTGGTAAAACTACGTTTGGTTCCGCGGCAAGTGTATGTAAGGCTTATAAAGAGGTGAATTTTATAAAGAGAATCCCCCTGTGTTATACCATGCGGGCCAATTCGGTTCCTTACAGGTTGTATGTTGTAGAGAAGTGTATTTAATAAAGAAGTGTATGTTAGCAGAGGTTATACGGTAATCGAGAATGAGTACAGCAGTCAGTCAGGTTAGCATGATGAACCACATCGAATCCGGGAAAGATAACATAGTAGGTCAGGGAAACAAAGACAGTCAATGATCAAACAGGTCACCCGGATTTTAACTCCAATTAATGAATTAACTAACAGATAAGATACAAGCCAAACAAGTGAAGAGCCACACAAAGATAAGCAGAGCGACAGTGAATAGCAGTAAGAGTATATAAGAGCTGTCCATCTCGATGAAAATTATTTCCACTGCGCTAACGGCAGTGGAAGATACAATGTAGGACTAAATGGTCGCATAGCCCCATACCCAGCATTCTGTACGCAAGCGGTGCAGTGCACTTGTACGAAACGGATATTTTGAACTCAGTCGTACAGTGCACTGCGCTGCATTCGTACTGAATGTGGAGATGTTGGGTATGCGACCATTTTGTCCTAAGCTGTATGGCTGAGCTGTGGTTTTTCAATACGAACTGTGAGTGCACTGGTGACTGAACCCAGCGTATGCAAGGACAATACTGTAGCAATAAATCACTGTATATAAAGTACAGATGCATTATGTATATGTATCCTAAATAATATCCTAAATAATCATTTTCCGCTGCGTTATCGATGCACTGAAATCATGAACAGTACAGCTACATTATGTATCTGTATGCAATATACATACATCCGGAAACCGTTATGGCGCAAAAAGACTTTGTAGCTAATGTTTGCGAAGCGGGAAGCGGTACGACTTCCCACTGTAAGGAGTAACCGCATTATGTGGCGCAGTCGAAAGCAGAGCACGCGGCATGCGCATGGTAAGCGATGCCGTTGTGAACCCTGATTATATATAATGCAGCGTACGGCGCATTTCATTGTCCAGTAAGTTCATAAGAAACGATCCGTCTACCGCTTCTTACACTGCAAGCCTGCGCTGTATTTCAATATTTATTCTGTTACGGTGATAAGATAAATGCAGATGGTTGCACATGAGCCATAATATTGCGCAAGATAGCAGTGCACACAGCGAAATTGTAATAAACGTCGCCGCTGTTAGTTTTAACGCAGTATATGGTGCATCGTCAAACAAGTTCAGAGGAAATCGCAAGTTTATTAATTCTCGAAAAGCGAGCGGTGTGTTTCGGTATCTATTCAGGTACTTTGATAAGATAAAAAGGTTATGCGTACAAAGTAAACACAGAGCAAGTGCAAGACTGTGCCACAGCTAATTACCGACCTTTACAAGCGCCTATCGCGGCGACGCACAACGGCTCCGACTCTAAGAAGTTGTTTGGGAAATATTGGAAATCTCACATGAATTGTAAGCTGCTCATAGATTACTGTTTAATAATATCCTAAATAATCGTAAGTTAGTATGGCCATAATAATGACTGTAACCAGTTAATGACTATGGCATGCAGTTATGGCTGCTAGGTCAGTTCATCACATTCCTTTCCTTCTCATAAAAAAAGTGAAAATCCTATTAACGCTACTCGTACGGGGACATTTGACGCGGCCTTCCGCCTACTTAAGAAATTCGCCAGAAATTCCACTTTAGACTTTAGAGATATAGGGCTCTCCTGAATTCCTCGAGGATTTTTAGTTCTCCGAAACTACTTCCGTATTTTTAATCAGTACTTCCGGTACGAGAATGGCCCATCCTACGTAATCGATTTCACGCAAGCAAAAGCCGCTTTGGCACTTCTCGTTAATTACCGACTGACTACAAGGCAATTTTAATCCGTACAGCATTCTACAAGATAAGCCAAAAATACAGTTCTTGCTAGTTCCAACACACAGTACTCATTGTCCCGTATTAATTTTGCTGCACAACATATTTTACACTGGCTCCACGCAGCGTACCGCAGTCTGTGGCAGCCAAACGGTTGCTACGTCACAAATATATCTGTATCACACGTGCATTTAAGGAAATGCAACTCAACTAGCAACTACACGTGTTTTGGCTACCTACTTAAGGGAAGTGGCCCGGTACATGGTACCAAATTCGTGTACATGCACGAAATCTTTCACTTTCGCGGATTCCCAAACCCTTTTTCCTCTGGTTTTATCACATTCTGTAGCCAAATGATTTGTATACACTGGCGTGAAAACCGTTTGTGCGCGCACCATCCTATGCGGGAGTTATGGCTGTAAGAAAATTCCAAAAAGTTTAAATGCATTCAGGTGTACCAAAAGTCTCACTATGGACCGATGTCTTTTAAATTTTGCATGTAAATGTACATAGCCATGAAGATCGTTTTTACACCGACCTAGACTTCCATGATTTTTTTCAAATTTTAAAATGAATTTTAAAATTTTTGAAATTCATTTTAAAATTTGAAAAACTGGTTAGAACAGTGGATCAATGTAAAAACGATCTTCATTGCCATGTGCATTTACGTGCAAAATTTGAAAGAGATCGAACCATAATGAGACTTTTAGTACTTCTATGGGCGCCAGAAAAGAGGGCTAGTATGGGAGCCTGGCGGGTTGTGACTATGTACGTGGTTCCATTGTGGTTCTATGGTGGTTCTATGGAGGTTCTATGGCGGTTCTATGTGGTTCTATGGGCGCCAGAAAAGAGGGCTAGTATGGGAGCATGCCGGAATGTGACTATGCACGTGGTTCCATTGTGGTTCTATGGTGGTTCCATTGTGGTTCTATGGTGGTTCCATTGTGGTTCTATCTGGCTCTATGGGCGCGAGAAAAAAGGGCTAGTATGGGAGCATGCCGGGTTGTGACTATGTACGTGGTTCCATTGTGGTTCTATGGTGGTTCTATGGTGGTTCTATGGCGGTTCTATGTGGTTCTATGGGCGCCAAAAAAGGGGGCTAGTATGGGAGCCTGCCGGGTTGTGACTTTGCACGCGGTTCCATTGTGTTCTATGAAGGTTCTATTGCGGTTCTATGTGTTCTATTGTGATTCTATGTGGTTCTATTTGTTCAGGTGGTTGTGTCCTAGTCTGTTGGTTTAATCCCCATAGAACCACTTAATGTCCTAACTTGGACATTCTATGGAAATTTTTGTTGCTGTCCGCAGTTTGCTGTTTAGGACAATATTATGTTAGGATTCAGAAAACATAATTTTTGGGAATTGAGTTGTGAGTTTTGTTCTGGTGCCGAGATCCGCTTTAATGCCGAGTGAAAAGCGTCAAATATTTCAAAACTTTGTTATTACACGTAAGCAACCGTACAGACCCGTACCCAATATTGTAAAATGACCCTGTCTCTCAGCTGTTAAGCGCAGGCTTTGTTAGCTTGTTTTTATAACTGTTAGCGGGTTTTTTTACGGCATCGTTATTGTGTGACGACCACCTAATTAACCTTGACAAAATGTCAAGAAGAATAGTATGAGTTGCTTGGTTTAGTTTCGCGCAGAGCCTGAAACGGACGACGGGTTTTGTCTTAAAAAATCAAGAAATCCATTAACAATACAAAATTTCATACACAAAGTAACCGAAACCTTTTTACACGGAAGTTGTCTAACGTTTCTCAATGGATTTAAACTTAGTCGTCTTGCGCAAGGTACAGTGAAGTTTTACAAACATATTTATTACATTAACGTATGCAATGCGTTTTAACACACACTATTTCCACTTCCGTTGATAAATGCGCTTTTATGAAACTTTCCTATTGGAATTTTGCATGGTGAAAATTATGAATGTGCCTTGAGGTTAATTAAATTCTGCAAAAAGTGTTGTGCGATCTGTGACCTCGGGCCAGGGTGCATCACCCAGAGACCATACTGTTGTAAGTTAAAAAGTGCATGCCGACTGGAGTAACGCCATTACCTCAATTATGATCGTATCAGGCTAGATGCAAGTGAGTGTCAAATGAAAGTTAGGAATTGTTTGCTAGAATTCAAGTGCCACCTAATATTTCCTTTCCCATTTTACTTAATATCGAATACGCACGGGCATTCTTAATTTACCCTTGCAGTTTTTAGACGAAGTTGAATTAAAAATTGGAAACCGTTATGGGCACCCTTTAAGCCAACGTTTATTATAGGCAGCAGGCACCCATTCTATATCACATATAATGTGAAATAATATTATTTACATATTTCGACATTGATTTGTTTTTTTATACGTACAGTAAAAACGTAAAAACTTGCTATGGGCAAAAGGTGAATTAATTGTGCTGCACAGTCATGTTAGGAATGCAACAGTAATTTTGTGTTCAATACCGGCAAATAACATATTACGGCGGGTTCAATCAGCCCTCCTCCACCGGGGCCATCGAAAGCAATGGCCCCTGATTTACTCTCCCTATCACTCGAAAATGTCGATGACGTAAAGGATGACCTTTCTTCCGCAGAATTCGAGAAAGATTTTAAGACATACTGACGCCACTTTCCAAAAGTTCATAATTATACGGTCCGGGACCACTAAGAGAAGAAAGGCGGAAAAATCTCCGGAAAAATGGCCGGTGGATTTTTTCATCCATGTTATATCCTCACCTATGTTCAGGCAGAAAATTAAGGTACAAAAATAGAAAACCTTCATACGGAAGATGGAAGGGTTAATCATGTTTTAACAGGAATACGTGTGCAAGATCCAAACGCTTTCGTGAACGTGGTAATGAGTGACGCCGGAAAAGTCAGTAACAATACTGTCATCACATCTGAAAAAGGAGTTTCTGGATGCCTCACAATAGAAGACGCGGTACCAATTCGTTCTAGAATGGCTGATTTGCCAATCGTCCTATTATCGGCTGGAAAGCCTGATAGACTTAAGTCGACGCCAAAAAAATTAATGTTTATTACAGTATAATGTTATCTACTATAAATAAACCTGTATTGTAATCTGAAAACAGTGAATCTATTATATATTATAATGTACTAATTTGCAAAGGTCGGATGCCTGTAATAAACAAGGTGGGAAAAGGGGTGCCTTAAATATACGGGAGCTTTAAGGGGTGCCTGTAAGGTACCTTGAAAATTTGGCTCCTTCGCCTTAACTTCAGATTTTGCGTAAAAGGAAAAACTTGTAGCTCGCCAAAAATGCGGGTTTAATTTCTGTTTGTTTCTCGAAAACCGCTTACTGCGCCGTAAGCTGCTTAAACTCGTTGGATGGATCCTTTCTGTGTGTACAATTTTATTAGCTGCTGAAACCATTGTAACTTCTCTTTGAAAACCGAAGCGGTGTTTGTTTGCGTTTGAGACGAGCAGATTTGTGCCGAAAGTTATCTTTGCGGCTCGAAAAGAGGAGAACACTAAGTCCCCCATGCCGGACACCACTGAATTCGTTCCGGCAATAATGTCCCCCATGCCGGATACTAGTAATTTCGTTCCGGCAGTAATGTCCCCCATGCCGGACACCACTAAATTCGTTCCGGCAATAATGTCCCCCTTGCCGGACACCACTAAATTTGTTCCGGCAATAATGTCCCTCCATGCGAGATACCAGTAATTTCGTTCCGGCAATAATGTCCCCCATGCCAGATACCAGTAATTTCGTTCCGGCAGTAATGTCACCCATGCCCGAAACCTGAAAATTTATTTCGGCAGTAAAGTCCCTTGGGTGACTGATGTCTCTTAGCTGTTTTGGACTGGTAACGCTGTGGTAACGCTGGTGGCAGTTTTTCAAAGGTCACCGATCGACCTGAAAATCAGCTTTCTGTTGTAGGTCCCCCACGTCACCATTCTGACCAAAGGGTTACCGTTTTGGAGATGGTGGCAGGGGGGACACGGCAAAAATGTCCGGGGGGACAGGGGGGACATTTTTGCCGGTCACACACGTGTATTCATCGAGGTCCGGGTAGTCCGCGTGAAACCAATTCTCAATACGGAGTTCCGCAGCGGGTGGGCATTTCTCCAGTGGCCATCGCAGAATTAGAGTACGCGATGTCCGAGTTATGAATCTGGTCACGAGTTGCTCAATCTTGCGGCGCACCACAGCAGCATAATCCGGTCTAGACGACTTGTTTGACTCTCTCCAGCCATACGTTTCCAGTTTGAACAGGTCATTGGCGATGGTTCGTTGGACTGACGGTGAATGAGCTATGGCCTTCCATCGCTTGCAAACGCTAATCAATCACAACGGTCAATGCATGCCGAGCAAGTCAAAATAAAATTATTTAAAAAAGTGCAGTACAAAGTTATTGTAGTACGACTTAGCAGGATTTCGAGCATAGGCTGCTGCATAGGACTAATAATCAGCGAATTTTTCTGATCTTGAAATCATTTTTTATTATTGTTTTCTGACTACCGCTTTAAAAATGTTTGCTGTGACATCGAGTATTCCACGATTTCTCGACAGTCAGCTATGCACCTGATCAGAAAAACACAATTTCCAATACTGTATTTGTAAAACGAATAAACACCTCACAAAACACATGAGACCTCAACGTATGGTTGTTGTAGTGTTACAGTTTCTCCAAATCGCTAGTTTTGAGTTACTGCAAACCGGTGTTTCTGGGAATAATAATATCCTCATTATCCTTTACCCTGGTGGGCTTACATCGAGCAATCGGAAATCTCGAAAATGTCCAAGAAAGAGAAAACACGTGCTACTAGTTCAATGGGCAAAGTATGGACGAAGCATGGGGGTTCAAGGGCGACACCCAACTGCTTAGTATCGGTTGTGCACCGATGTATTTTATCAGAACCATGAACTGCCATTTCCAAAGCTTCGAACGAAGTGGAATATTGGAGCGTGGATTATTTGCCCGATAACTAAACCCCCATTAGAAACCTAAAAAATGGTACTTTGACTCGGCTTAGTCGGCCGAAAGTTTTTCGCTGAGAAATCTCAACTGTATCGTCATGCCCTTCACAAAAATGGTAACATGGTCCCGCAACCCCGTGGAACTGAAGTGCTGTCGTTATCTGAAACGAAATCAGCACATGCATTATGCATTATTTTACTCAGAAAACTGTTCTAACGAGCAGAAAACACGATAGAGCATTCAGAGTCAGCTTATTGGTATATATAATCATGTAAATCTCATATCCAGTCACTACTGGAGTTATATTTTTCAAACGATTTCATTAACCGAAATACAGCCGTACCATGTGCTTCAAGTTATTTTGATATGCTTACCAAATACACGCACGCCAACTTGTGACCAAATCGATGCCCAAGACGCTTGGTTTTTGTTAGTAAGATGAAAGATCGTGCATCATCACAGGGAGATGCAAAGCCACATCCCAAATGCCGGCTGCGCAATAAAAAATATCAAGCTTTTAACTAAGTACCAGTTCATTGTAGCACGGCTTCACAACTCATAAGCGTCTGGCAAGAACCGTATTTCAAATCCGTACGTGTAGTTACTATCAAACCTAATGGAAACATTATACACCTGAATGTCACCTTGAAATCATGCAACATTCACGACAAATACGGCGTGATCCATACGGCGTGGTGCAGACGGCAAAGCGATACATGCCAAGTAAAATAAAAGCAATGAGATGACTCAGATCTTACCGGGAATGCTTTATCTGTACACCATCGCTAACAATTGTAAGCAGCTGAGTTGTACTGCACTTGCTTAAAATAATTATACACTTTGAATTCCAGTCGCGCAGCGTACAGGTGCGTACCGCAAAACATTCTCGTACAATGTTGGTTTAAACTTTAACGAAGGCACATTATATCCCTATAAGCCAGTGTGATACGTTAGCGATACACGAACATAGTGTACACATATAATAATTATATATACAGGAGGCAAAACCAGTCTACCCGAACCGTCTCCCTGTACTGCTGCCGGTTCCAGGTTTACGTAGTGACTAAACATGGTGCTTATGAACCGCGCCTGACTTAGCCGTATGTATGTATTGCCGTAACTTCACACTCCAGTCGGGTGACGGCAGCATTGCCGTGAATTGGTTCGATTAAAACGGTTTTTCCCCCTGTATACAAGCATGCAGCCAATTTATTACAACCCCTGTTCGTCGCCATTACCATTTGCTACTTCCTATTTTTCCAGACACACAACTAGGGTGGATAATAATATGATAATTACTTTCGCAAGTTATGAATCAGACGCTCCAGATTTTCCGCTGATGCATCGCTCAGAACAGTGCATCGGCACACTAACAACTATCCGGCTGACCGACAACTTGCTGGCGACTTTTTGCTGACCGACGAAATGATGACCCGACAGTTTGTTGAAACAACAATTCGCTGAAAAACTTTTTGTGAACACCGACGACTTGCTGACGACATTTTGCTGACGTGAGAAACCTAAAAAACCTAAGAGGCCTAAGAAAACTAACAAACCCAAGAAAAAACAACGAGAAGTCAAAAAAACTAAAAACCAAAGTATCGAACCGAAAAACAAGTTGTCAGTCAGCAGAAATGTTTCGACAAAACGTCGGTCAGCCATTTAGCAGAAAAGCAAATTGTCGGTCAGCGAGTCAGCAACATGTCGGTCAGCAAATTGTCGGTCAGTGAATTGTAGGCCGGCGCATCGACGTGCTACCAGGAACCGGCATCACGTGCGAAATGATTATCACTGCAGCACCTCATACGAAATATACAAGCCCATCCAACAATTCTTTGACCGCTGTAAGCGCAGCGCATATAAATCGCGCACAGTAATGCAAATACGCATCGTAGTGTAGTGGCAGATATATTTATAAAATCATATTCAACCAATAATAATATATTAGATCACAATTAATCACCGATAAAGCCATCATCACAGTTAAAATTATCAGGTTAATCAACAAAACCAAACAGATCGCAGTTAGAATTATCACAGTTAAATTATCAGTAATTACAAAAGAAACAGATCAGTTTATGAACTACCATCCATAAAACCAAATATGGAACGAAATATCAGTACTCAATTCGAGCGCCACCCGCGTGGAAGACCTTCTCATATCGCACTGGAATAGATTTGTAAAGATGCTGGCAGAATTCTGTTGTGGCAGACATCACCCAGGCTTCTCTTATCAGATGACGCAACTGCACCAGGTTTTGTGGCTGGAAACGGGTGATATATTGTTTCATCACAGTCCACAAATTTTCTATCACGTTTAGATCCGGAGACCGCGCGGGCCAGTCGGCCAAAATGATTCCCTCTCTCTCAAAAAAATTTCGTACACTAGCCGCCGTATGGATTCTTGCATTGTCTTGAACGAATGTGTAACCGCGGAGAGTCCATGGTCCTGGGCCGTCCATTGCCGGCAACAGCGTCTCGGTAAGCAGGTCCTCATATTTTGCCGCAGTTTGAGTGCCGTCTAAAATCCGGATGCACAGACCGCCTTCCGCTCCGATGCAGCCCCAAATCATCAGCCCCTTTCTTTCTCGCACCCGTGGAACCTGCAAGTCCGGTCCAAAACGATCTTCATCTCGCGCTTTCCACATCATAACTTTCCCTCCCTGAAGCGTAACGTACATTTCGTCGCTGTGCAACATCACATAAAATGGTGATGGCTGTAGGGCATCCTCCCGCGGGCGACGCTTCCATTCTTCGAATAAGTACAACTGCGCAGCTACGTATTCCAGGCGCTTGCGTTTGTGGTCTTCTGTCAAATCATCCCGAACAGCCCCTACCTTGGACCATCCTGCATCCTGCAGGCGCGCATGAATACTTGACCGACACAATCCGTCTGGATGCAGCGCGCTCCATGCAGCGGCGATGTTGCGTAGGGAATCGAACCGATGTTCTCTAACAAACTGCAAGAGCTCTTCGTCTTGCTCTGGAGATGTGCTTGATTTTCTCCCCCGTGGCTTGCGATTGAGGAGCAACCCACTGTGCTTATCAAATCGGGACAACACATAGATAATCCAGGATTTGCTTTTGTTAAACATTTTAGCAAGGGAAGATAAGCTATGAGTCTGTCGAGCTCGATGGACTGCAATCGCCAACGTCGAATCAATCATCTTTTGCCCGGGCATGTTGCAATCAGTAATTTGAAAGTAATATGGATATTACCACCGCGATATTGTATTGCAAAGCAAAGATAATACTGTTACAAAAGCATAAAATTAATATCAATTATGATGGCAATAAACAATGCTAAACATATTACAATGTATATCACAGATACAGTAACTGCAACACATGCAGATTTGTTGATTATTTACGCTGAATGCGCAGACCCATGTGGCGTGACCTGTCGAAGCACATTAAATGGCTCAAGCCCACGTTTCTTTAAATTCCCGCTTACAGCGGTCAAAGAATTGTTGGATGGGCTTGTACAACGCGCTGCCGTGTGCGCCACAATAGGCGTCTTTAACCGTTTGCAGGAGTGAGAGCACCTCTCTGTTTTTCCGTCTCTGCTTTCTCACTCTTATTCAGCTCTCTGACTAGTGTGTATTATAAAGTTCTAAACTAAATTCATTAGTTACCGCCAGGGTTTTCCTTGTCTATCCTGACAGTCAGGTGCTTAAAGTCGGCGAAACTTTCCTGTCGTCGACTATGCAAGCCCCGGATGGACAGTTGGCACATGAGCCAAAGGCCGTGTAACCACTGGTCTTCTGATTAGGTTGCAAAACGTTCTGGCTGTAAGGCGATCAGATCTACGGAATTAGCCACGGTACGTAGTACCAAATTTGTGTATAGGCATGAAAAATTTCAATTTCGCATGTAAACGCACATATACAAACATGACGATTGTTTTCACCCAAACCACGGTCCGGAAATTTGTTCACATTTTAGAACGGATTTCAAATTTTTTAAAAATTATTTTAAAATTTGAAAAAATGCTGCAAATTTGGCTTGGTATAAAACGATCTTTAGACATTCGTCCATTTATGCGCAAATTCAAAGAAGATCGGTTTATAAGGAGATCTTTGGCGCATAAACGGTTTTCACGCCAATACGAAGAGTCAGACATCTTTCTCAGTCGGCTGGTATACGGCCAGTGCAGCGCACCATGGCGCATAAGTTATGATTCATAGAGATAAGAACGGGTATTTTAAAAAACGGAGCTGTGCGGCGCGGTATCTTGAATACGTGCGGTATAGTTGTTTTGACCATACAGAGCGTAGATAGGCTCCGGATCGTGATGACACACGTTACCAGTCGTTTCTACTGCGCATAATGCACAAAAAACCTACGTAGGCGTTGGAAGACACCCGAATGTCTGAATCTGAGCAATGTATACAATTCATCCGGCTACAGAATGTCGTAAACCGTACCAAAAATGTGTTTAGGAGTGCGCGAAAGTGGAAGTTTTCGTGTGTGAACGCGAATTCGGTACAATGTACCGGGCCACTTCCCTTAAGGCAGTGCTTGCAATGTATTGCAGTCTTGCAGCGTCTGCTTGATACATTTATTACGAAGAGTCAGACATCTTTCTCTGTTGGCTGGTATACGGCCAGTGCAGCGCACCATGGTGCATCAGTTATGATTCATAGAGATAAGAACGGGTATGTTGAAAAACGGAGCTGTGCAGCGCGGTATCTTGAATGCGTGCGGTATAGTTGTTTTGACCATTCAGAGCGTAGATAAGCTCCGGATCGTGATGACACACGTTACCAGTCGTTTCTACTGCGCATAATGCACAAAAAACCTACATAGGCGTTGGAAGATACCCGAATGTCTGAATCTGAGCATTACTTCGAAATATTATGCGACGCCGGACTTCAGGCATTTAATAGGCTTTTTTTCGGCCCGCGCTCAAGCTCTGACTCTGACTCAGACTCTGACCGCTCAAACTCTGACTCTGACTACTCAAAGTCTGACTCTGACTGTCCAAACTCTGACTCTGACTCTGACTGAATAAACTAAGAATAACTTGAGAAACCTAAGAAATTTAAGAAACCTAAGAAACCTAAGAAACCTAAGAAACCTAAGAAACCTAAGAAACCTAAAAACCTAAGAAAAATAAGAAACCTAAGAATCCTAAGAAACCTAAGAAACCTAAGAAACCTAAATAACCTAAGAAACCTAAGGAAACCTAAGAAACCTAAGAAACCTATTAAGAAACCTAAGAAACCTTAGAGTCAGAGTCAGACTTTGAGCGGTCAGAGTCAGACTTTGAGTAGTCAGAGTCAGAGTTTGAGTGGTCAGAATCAGAGTCAGAGTCAGAGTTGGAGTCTAGGCCCTTTTTTTCTGGTACAGCAAGCAAACGGTATTTGCCATTTAGGTATCGCAGCAGCGAATGGATGGATGGATACGTGTATGGATGGCTGGCTACCCTCATGCTTAAACGAACTGCGGCAATTACACTATTGCGTAGCTTAATAATACGAGTGCTAAAGTGGAATTGTTTGTGCGTGCTTTTGTGAGCTTCAAAAAATTAGCATCGCACAATTCGCAGTCTAACATTGACACTCAGCAGATGTCCACTGTTCGTTTCATTTTGTCGCATACGGAGAAGTTGGCACTATGTTACTGTATGCCGCTGCTGCTGCAATCGAAGGTGCACGAACACAGCTCGTTACTACTGAAATAAGTCTGTTGCCCAATGAAACTGCTGATCTTTTGAAGGCCCTCAAGTGGATCGAACCGAGGACGGTTCATACAGGTTGATCGAGGGCGACATTATTGACAGATCTCCGATTAACGATTACAGTCGAGGCTCATCTGTAGACGAAGTAACAAAAAGCGCATACTTAATTTTACTTCAGCAGCTTTAAGTTAGCAAACTTGTAGTAAGGGGGATCCATAAATTACGTACGCAGCGAACCAGGGAGGGATGGGTCCAAAAAGTGTGACAAGCTGTGACGGCCTCGACGAACCCAGGGGGAGGGTGTGGTCAGCTCCATGTATTACGATTGAACGAACCAGGGGGGAGGGGTCAAGCAAACGTGACGGACCACTACGAAGGGGGAGGGAGGGGTGAAAAAATCGTGGTTTCCTGCGTACGTAATTTATGGATGTCCCCTAATTTTGGTCTCGAATGGCCTAATGATCTCTAATCGTCCTAGCGTTTTCACGCAGTAGCATTTTTCACGTCCTTCGAGTAAAACATCCGGCGAATGTTATTATGTAATTGATGAACCGACTAAAACTCTCGGGACCGGTAGCTCTCGGGACCAAAGTAGCGCCTGCCGTAAATTTTGTTTGCGTTTCCGACGCGGCCGTAAAGCCCCGAGTGGATAGTCAATTTGCAGGCCTCCGCTTAGCTGCTCGACAATTCGCTCACCGGCATATCGCTGATTAACACAACTTGTGGACCGACAATTCGCTTTTCTACAATTTTGTTGCCAGATTTTTTGCGGAAACCATTTTGCTGACCGAAGGTCTGCTTTTCGGCCAGGTTCTACAGTTTTTTCGTTTCTTGAGTGCTGTTATTCGGTTTTTAGGTTTGTTAGTATTTTATTAAGTCCCTACATTCTTTCTGACTTCTCGGTTTCTTAGCCTTGGTCGTGTTTCTGTTGGTGTTCTTAGGTTTTCTTAGGTTTTCTTAGGCTATCTTCGTTAATCTTTCTTTCTCTTGTGCTTTTGTAAGGTTTCTTAGGTTTCCTCCAGTTTTTTTAGGTTGTTTAGGTTTCTTGGGTTTTTAGCGCGCTTGTGAAGTTGATCTGTTGGTCATCAAAGTACCGTCAGCAAAGTGTCGGTCTTCAGCAAAGGTCCTTCACCCAGCTGTCGATCATCAAGTTGTCGTTTCGTCAAACTATCGGGTAAATCTTTGTCGATCAGCAAAAGGTTGTATCAAATTGCCTGTGTGCCCCAAGGTCGGGCAGTTCAGTTAAGCGAGCTTTCGTCTTCCACTTCTCCTGAGCTTCGGTGAGATCAACCGCCGGTCGTTCGGGAAGCAGTAAGGATACTATTCCGGTTACGGAATGAATCGAGGCTAGAAAAGCCGGGAGCGCTAATTCTTCCGATCGGCGTATACCAATACCACCTCTGCTAACCGGCAGGCTTGCTTGCCGCCAGCTCGGATGATCGTGATTGGTTCGGACATTGCACAGCAGTTGGAAGCAGGAACGTAGCACTTGATCGATCTTGAACAATTGATGCGGATACTTCCAAGCATTGCAGCACCGTAACATACAAATGATCTTGGGCGCACCAAGGCAGTGTCTCAATAGGTATAGGGCATGGTGACGAGGAAGTACAGAGTAGCTGCATCCTCTCGGACGCAGTAGTTAAAGCCGCCGCTTTCTCTGGAGCGATCGCTTCGTCCAAAACAGGAGCTCCTAGCAGTGTCAGATTAGAGCTGGTCAACAACTTTCAGGCTGGAGCGCGTTCTCACGGAAGATCGTACGCCGTGCGGCAGGCGTAATGACTAAACTTCGTTACACCAACACGACTCCAACTAACACGTATGGGAGGATGTAAGAATCGTTCCGACATTCGGACCCGAGAACGTTTTCGTCCTTGCTTACCACTCTTGACATAAACTGGGCCAAAGGTTAAAGAACAACTTGCGAGAAGGCAGTATCGGGAAAGGCGAGCTTGTGTCAAAACTGATCCATGTTGGCTTCTCGCTAGTAAAGGACTGGACTGGCCTAGCTGTTAAAACCAGCCTTTCTATTTCAAGTGTTACAGCCGATAAAAGTTAAGAAACAATCAACCAGTGAAGACGTGAAATACAACACTGGAGCCGCCTGACTTAATTGTCCCGCGGTGTTTCCGGATGAAAACCATTTATGCCATATTCTGCTGCAACTGTACAAGCAATATTTATGTACCAGCTTTATTGACGTTCCGACCACCAAATTTTATGGACAACAGGGTTTAGCTTCGCCTCGGTCTTATGGTGCTAGCGTAAGTGATGTATTTTCCTGTTAAGTAAACAGCCAGAAAACAATGTTATGAAAACCAGGTTAAGAGGTTAAACCCTTAGTATCTCTGCAGGCTCCAGTGCATGTAACCAAAGTTACTTTCGATATACATTCACGTTTTAAGCAAGCAATAGCTAACCAAGTAACAGCACTGTAAGCCTGCGCTGGGAGGCCGGTATCGAGTAACAAGGATCGCTCAAAATTTTTGAATAAAATTTTTGGCTAGGCGGTTAGTCCTTCGCTTCACTGGATGTACTACTTTGAACGTCGTCCGACGGCGCCTCCGTCTGCGGCGTGGTACTAGCCGACTGCCGCGTGGTACCAGCCGACTGCCGCGTGGTACTAGAAGTACGATTCGTTCGATGCGTAGGCAAAAAGTTGGTTTTGTCTTCCAATGCTTTGCGGCGCTTCGTCTCCGGCTGCGCCTCCGACTGCGCCCCCGCCTGCGCCTCCGCCTGCACCCCCGGCTGCGCCTCCGACTGCGCCCCCGGCTGCGCTTCCGCCTGCACCCCCGGCTGCGCCTCCGACTGCGCCTCCGACGGCGCCACCGACTGATTGTACGAAAGGTATTGCTGATTATACTGGTCGCAAATCGAATCGATTACTGATACTGCCAGATCAATTGCTTCCACCGGGTCTTCATCCAGTTCAAAGTATTCTGTGAACCCTCTGATATCATCCTGCCGTGGACTCCACCAATAATCTAACAATTGGTGAATATTCCATTCAGAAGACCATCGAAGATATACAGGACTCATATGAAAGAGCACATATTCTTCCTTGTTGCACTTTGAGAGCTGTTTCACTCGCTTTCGGGGATCTTTGGCTGAGCCTATTTTTATCCTGACTACGCCATTTGCATCTATATGTAGAAGGGCGTAAATGTATCCGTGCGCTTTTCCTAACTTCTCTGTAGGCGTCCACTGGTTCTGTTCCCTGAACCCTCCAACCCCCAGGTAACGCGACGCTTCATAAGCGAAGTTATTTTCGAACCATTTGTGGATATCGAGTATGTTACGGGTAGTGTGCGGATCCGCAAGCATTGCATTTGCCGCCTGGAGTCGCAGCTCGGACACCGAAGGATTACCGGCCGCCAGCTTGGATAAAATGTCGTAGCCGCAGTCATACCGGTTGCCCTTTCCATCGCCTGCTCCTGTTGTGTTCCCTTCGGTTTCCAAGCCATCTCCGTCAGCGTCCACCAGCTCGTAATGCCCGATCCCGTTTGCTTCACCGGGCTTCGGTGGAGTGTACACGACAATGCGCACACCAGCTTTTTTCTCGTCTTTTGTTGGCCTGCCCGTCGCATTTTGCACGATTTTGACATTGATTTTATAGAGTTTTGCAAGCACGAGCAATGTCGGATTATCTATGGCCTTGTTATCGGCAATCGCTTTTGCCAGTTGCAAGATCTCGGCGCTGTTTTCTGCATCAGAGTTTATTCCGCCTTCTCGTGAGCGCTCAAGGGCTTCTGTTATACTAGCGATCAATTCTCGCCGCTGAAAGCTGATCATATATTCTTTAGCGTTCATTTCAATTTGTCCCTTGATTGTTCGTCGGCGGTCGATGAATTCGGGATCTTTCGAGTCCTGAGCTTCGCTTACCACGAAAAGTGTTTGCAGTTTTTCTGAAATGCTGCGCACGATAGCACCGGCCACTTGCGACATCACGGGTGATACAAGGTGCGAGTTGGCCGTTCGGATGATGTGACCGACAACAAGGTCGCTGATGGCTTTGTGCAGGACACTCATTTCTGTCTTAACTTGAGCTTTTTCAAATTCCTTTTGCCTTTCTGACAATAACTTCAAGACGGTTTGCAACAGATTACTTTCTGTTGCATCTAGAAGAGCTCCCATATTCTGGAAATCATTGACATAATTCTCTTTCGTGCAGATTCTGCGGACTGCCTCGGCAGACAAATCGTTCTTGCTGAGCAGTATTTGTCGGAACACCTCGAAGTCGTCTTTGAGTTTGGTATTCATTTCCGAAAACACTTTTGAGATAATATTAGCAATTTCCTTGAAACCGGACCAAGCACCCCAGCACATCGTCACATTGCTGTAAATGCTCCCCAGAAAATTCGGATCCGAAAGGATTCCGTCAGCCAACGGCGCGCCGACGGAATTCCACCACGCACGCCATGCCGGCAGTTGTGGATTCATTGTCGCTTTTACCAGTCGTTCCAGTTTGCCCTGCACATTCTGCGTCGTCTTTGATGTCGGAAGGTCCGCATCGAGCATTCGGTGTTGTACCCACGTTTTCACCAGAACTGCTTTGAATTCCGGATTGGCAAATCCGTTTTCGATTCTCAGTTCGACTTCCTTTTCGATTGGGCCGCGAATTTTTTCGAAACAGAATCCAGACAGTTTGTCATTAAGAATCTTCAGGCCGATACGGCCGCCGGTCTCGGCAGTCCGCACAGCGATGTGCTTGACTGCCAGGATCTTCAGGTTGGCGCTTAAAACACCAGAAAAGTCGTTACATGTGGTGTTCGCGATAAGGAAAAACTCTATATACATTTGTGATCTCTGTGAGCTTGGCCTTCTGGCCTTCAACGGCAAATTATTCAGAAGGCAACCAAACGTCCGTAACCGACCAAAACCTCCAGACGACTTAGACCGGCGGACGTTTTGTTTGTTAAACCGGTCGAAACGCCAGGGTCCAAAAAAGGTGCGCCGTAAATTTTGCTTATCTATTTCTCGCTTCGTTTTCAACGTGGACAACATGTTTGCGAAATTTTGTAAGCATGGAAACTTTTGTTCGAGTATGTTATGAGTCCGGATGAATTCTATTCCTGCCCGGACACTTTGGTCGAAACAAAAGTGTCCGGGCAGGAAGACTGAGTGTCCGGGCAGGAAGATTAAATTTTGAGTTGGGCGGTAAGATTTTGTGGCGGCCCGAAAGCTTCGACAAAAGTATCTGGGAAAATTCGCTGCGATGGTAGTGTCCGGCGATGTATAATGACAAGAATTATACTGAGGCCTACTAGGGCTTGTTTCTTGTTGAGAATAATAAAAAAGGTGGGAAGTTCACGGTGAACTTTTCTGTTGTTCTCGGACGTTTCGTTTCGTTCGGCGTAACGACGGAAACGCCCGTCGGGAACCTTAGCCGGGAAGTGCGCCTATTTTAATCACAGGTCTCAAGAAGCCGTACTTTGTTTTTGAGTTTTCCCAGAAAAAAGCAACCGTATTTGGTGACTGTAGAGGGTATGCCAAGTAGCGGCTGCTAGTAGCTGACTTCTAAACAGTACTGCAGTGTGAGGAGCAGTGGCCTCCCCATTCACCCGCGCACAGGCGGCTGCTAAGTTGTTTTGCTGTTTTTGCCTTGCTTTTCTCCATCTACCAGATCTTCCATCTGGTAGATTCTTTGGTTGCCAGATTTCGTCGTCTGAGCTGGATGCTTTTTCCTTTGTGCCCCGCAGCAAGGTGCTGCGGTGGCCTCTGATGTGTTGTATGTGAGGAAGATAAAGTGTGCAGTGTGTTGGCCTTCAGTTTCCGTTTCGGTTCGCGCACAGGGGTGAACTAGCCGTTCATCCCCTGTTAGATGGTAGCAGATCTCGGAAGAACCATGTGCACCCTTTCGAACCCCAAGTGCGACGTCTGACGCGCCCAGTGAAAGTTCACTTTGCCGAAGCGGCAGCCCCGGATACGACGATGGACGGGAGGAATGATCCCCGCCGGAGGCCGGAGGAATACCACATCGCGAAGCGTGGTGATGGAGAGGGTGAAGAAGGACGTGAAGGATGATGTCAGCAGCAGCCAGCGAACTCCAGTCTGGCCAACTCCAGTCCGTAGCAGCTCAAGGACTGCCACTCACCGAAGCCCACGTGAACCCTGCCATCGTAGAAGTACCAGTGAGCTGCCCCACAGGGTCACCAGTGTCAAATTACCCCAAACCCCTGCCCGTTTTTCCTGGGATGACGACCTTTCCTGGACGGATGCAGTGCAATTTCCCCACCGAAGAATCGTGTTTTGGTGTTTGCAGGGTCACCAGCGCTCCAATGCCACGAACCCTTGCTCAATTTTCCTCAGAATGTGACCTTTTCGTACAGCAGAAGCAATGGAATTTATCCAGTTCCGCGTTGGACGCCATCTTTCGTCGCAGCCAGTGCAGTGACCCAGCAAGGAAAAGCAGGTCAAAAGTGGACCGGAGTCAAAGCCGAACCAGAGCGTACCGTGGGGCGAGCCGACGTGAAGCCAGCCGTATGTGACGTCTTTCCAGTACCGCAGGCACCGGTGACATCAGCTGTACAGTTTTCACGCGAAGGTGCGTTTTAAGCGAAGGTGCTAACATTGTATGTGTCAGCTTTTCCAGATCCGCAGGCACGGCCCTGCAGTGTGAAGGATGCGCATCGGCTATGTGGCTGGAGAGCTGAAGTTCAAAGCCCCAACGGGCAGCAAGGACGCCCGGGAAGACATGGAGGGGAGTTCGCGACGCCGCTCGATGCATTCGGAGGACCTTATGGGTTCCAACCGCAGGCATGTGAGGAGGAGCGGCCTCCCCGTTCACCCGCGCACAGGCGGCTGCTAAGTTGTTTTGCTGTTTTTGCCTTGCTTTTCTCCATCTACCAGATCTTAAATCTGGTAGATTCTTTGGTTGCTAGATTTCGTCATCTGAGCTGGATGCTTTTTTCCTTTTTGCCCCGCAGCAAGGTGCTGCGGTGGCCTTTAATGTGTTGTATGTGAGGAAAATGAAGTGTGCAGTGTGTTGGCGTTCAGTTTCCGTTTCTGTTAATTAACCGTTGAAAGACAAATTACCGTCGACAGTTTGCCGTTTTTAGAATTTCTTGCTTGTTTTAAAATTATCTCATATACGAAAAATGCACTGTACAGACAATATCGATATTTGTGCAAAACTTTGCACAGTACTATAATACATGCAGTATTTTGGTTACCCTAATTCGTGGTGCGGAGTGCCATATCGTAAATAAATATGGGAAAAAATGGCATGCAACGTTAAAGTTTGCAGTCATTAAGGAAATGTCGATTCTCATCCCCCCCTCCCTGACACCACCTTTGGCTCGCGCCACATTTTAAAATATTTTTGCACCACCCTTATTGACCAGCCTTTCCAACTCTTTATTTGATTTTACTGAATTCAGTGCGATTTTTTAACTGAGGCCTTGTCCCGAATTCGAAGCGAATCTCGCTATGGTACGGTTGCTCCACCGCACGAGGTGGCTGTATGCAGTGGCCACGCCTACAGATACGGTACGCGAAGCCACCTCGCGAGGTGGAGTTGCTGTATCGCAACGAGATTCGCTTCGAATTCGGGACGAGGCCTGAGTGTACATATGGTCTGCGATGCAGGCACACAATGGCGTGCCGGTGAAGTCGCAATAAAAAGCTCGAACACCAAAATAGGTGTTCAAAATAGGTGTTCAAAAGGTAGTGTTTGAACACCAAAATAGGTGTTCAGAAGCAATGTACTCGTACTACTTTTTGACTATTGCCACTCGTTTTAGGCAAGGTCTAAATGTGGCTAGATTACCGAAACGGTGGTGCAAGGCGCACGCAAAAGCCGCACACAGTTATTAATGGCCACGAATTAACTTCAAAATCTATACGCAAGAAATTTTAGAAACGGCAAAGTGTCGACGGTACTTAATTTTTAATTCAACGGTAAAGGCTCTTCGAACGGCGTTTTTCAACGGTTAATTGTGACGGTAAAGGTATTCACGGCGGCAAAGGCAAAGGTAAAGGCGAACTTGAAAAGGACAAAGTGAAAAGGCAAAGGCAAGGGGGCGGCAAAGGTAAAGTAGGCCGACTCGGCATTTACTAGTCCCAGAACGACTTTACATAATTTCAGAGGTCTGTCGCACGGCCATTTCAGCCGAGACGTCTTGCCGTCTCAAAAGTCAAATGGGAATAATTACGGTTTATCTGCATGTTTCAATTATTTGGTCTTACCGGTAGTTTGAATAATGGCAGTTTCCGCGGCTGCTGCTTCCAGAGCGCTGGCTGCTGTGCCGGTGACAAGAAACTTTGCTCCTTTGCAGCTGTTTCGCAGACTGTTCAAACCCAATGTAGTTGCCGAGATCAATAAACTTACAGCTTTTTGCGTAGCATAATCGCTCCAGCTAAAATGACGACTAGAGCACATTCTGTGAATTGTTGTAAGATCCGACATCGCTTCTGTTACAAGCGCCATTCCTACGCTGGCGCCAAAGCCAGTTACGATTAGGACACCACCGGCCAGTGCTTGCACGGAAGCTAGTGCGCAGATACTGCATAAACTGATCCATGGAATAAACTGCTTCTCATTGAACGACACGAGGAGGACGATGCCGCGGGCGCTCAGTTCGCGTATTTCCTGCAGCGGCACGTGGGTCTGCGTGAACATGTCGGGCAGTTCTTGCACTTTGGTCTGGCTTATTGCTTCTTGCGTAATCTCGGCGCGTTTCAGAACTGTGTTAGCATCATCCCAGTTCAGATTATACAATCGCATCGTAAATTTGATGTTGTGCTTTCGAAGGGCTTTTATCACGTCCTTTGCGTTATCTGTCGACATTTCGGAGAGTATAAGATTCGTCTTGTAGTTGGCAATCTCCTTGTTCCATGCTGCTTTAAGAACTTCTTTGAACGGTTCGCTCTCCTGCTGGTCCGTTTTCTCCTTTAGTCCCCGTAATGTCAGGTCGATGTTCAATTGGGCCGCAGCATGATGGTACTCCTTTCCCAGTGCTTCAATGGCACCATGCACTTCTGCTTCCCGGGCCAAGCCTGTCACTTGAACCACGGCCCAGTTGCCATTCCTTTGCTTGATGATGTCCAGCTTGTCTCGTTCACTCATTCCAGATGGAAGGATTTTGCTGATCAGCAGATGGTCATTTTCAGGGTCAGCCCATGCGACAATGATATTTCCATGCTGGAAGGCTGTCGAATTGGTAATTAAATTTTCTGCAACAGCTGCCAGGGTTTCTGATGCACCGGAGAATTCTATATCGAAACTGGTAACACAGACCTTCTCGATCTTGTTGAACCGGAAGGGTAACTTTCCTTCTTTTTCAAAATCGCGATGCATTTTAAGAACTCCAACGCTAACTTCGGGAACTTTCTTGAACAAATCCAGCTTGGAGTCGTCGAGCAGACTTGAGATGTCGGCGGACTCGCAGTGCAAGGACACTTTTAACGATCGCTTTAGCTGCGACGCAGCTGTCCCCGGGAGAGAACCCTTAAGTAGTGAAGCAGTCGTTTCTGTGAGCGATCCCTTAAGCAGCGAAGAAGCCGTTCCCGGCAGCGATCGCATAAGTTGTGAAATATCCGTCCCCGGAAGCGTCTGTACCGCTTGGTCGTTATCGCCACAATCGCTATAAACCGTTTGGTCATGGAAGGTTAAACTAAACTTCTCGAAGGATTTTATCTTGTCATCGAGATGGCGTTCTTGTGATTCCTTTAGAAGAAGATCGTTTGACAAACGCATCATGTATCTGTTTGACTTCGCCTCGTATTCCAGGTTGACTTTTCGCAGTGACCTTTCCGTTGCGTCGATATTGGCTTGAATAATGTTGATAAAATAGCCCAGAAGGTTGGCTTTCTGTATAAGCTGTTGGAAAAGCGGTGTGTCAGAGTCCGATCCCGGAGGAAGCTGCCTTTGCGACAAAGCCTGCATCATGTTAATTGTGGACATTTCTTTGTACAGCAGACTGAGGACGCCATTAAATTCTTCAATTGCTTCGCTCTTGTAATTCGATGATTTGCGTTGTTTCAGCGAGGCTGCGGCAAGGCCCATTTTGGCACCGACAGAACATAGCGGATCCATTTGGACTGCGATTTTATGATATTCCGTAGCGTCAGCGTACTTTTCATTGAGGTAATGGAAATTGCCTGAAAAAGTTGAGCATAGTCACTGTACGAATTAACTTTGGGCTTGATACTCTTCGGTACTCTTTTTAGCGTGGCTGCAGTTTCACGGCGATGCATAAAAGCCGTAACCACAGAATGTTGAAAGAAATATAAAAGCGCGCTATAGTGAAGGAAAGTTACACTGGATGTATGCGAAGTTCGTACCAGGTTCCTGACGAATTGTTAAAGAGCAAAAAAAGTACCACTCATTTCGCAGATGTACGAGATTACTAGGTGATCGTATTCTTTTCGTCAACTGTAGGTTTGACTTACCTAACTGCACAAAGTAGAAGGCGTTATGAGAGGCTTTGATCAGTTCTTGGTTATTCCCAACTTTCTCCAGCGTCGTCTTGAAAGTATGGAATTTTGCGCGTGCTTGTTCGCTGTTGAGCTTCTCACGGTCAACCAGCATAAGAAATTTCGCCCACTGTTCCTCTACGGACAACAGCGTGACGGTTTCGATCAGCGAGGGAGAGCTCCTACTTCCGACACCAAAGCACAACTGCGCCGTATCTTTAATTTGGTCGCTTATGTTTTTCAAGAAAATGCACTGGATTTGCAGTTCATGACGAACCATGTTGTAGTACTCACAGAAGTTCTCGAAAAGTTCACCTTTCATCTGGATATGTGCCAGTTCCCTGTCTCGGAAATCCTCTAACGTTCGTTTTTCTTCAAGGTCGCGCTGGTGTTTATAATCGGAACGTGGGTCACCAATGATAATCAGCTGTCCCGTGCCTTTGTTGCCTTGACGCGATGTTCGACCGAACGCTTGCTCTTCCGTCCTCTGACTGCACGGTAGAAACGTGAGGCACACGTGCAGTCCACCGTATTCTTCGATCTCTGTCGTCTTGAGATCGGTACCGCGCCCAGCCAGATTGGTCGCGACAACCACGTCACCAGGATGAAGCCGTTCGATGTGCTTTTCTTGTCCTTCTTGATTTTTTGTGTAGAGTTTAACTTTGACCTACAATTGCAAAATACAGTTCAGTGCCATGATGAACTAAACCAGATAGAGTGCTCACCTTATAACCGGAAAAAACGGATGCAATCAGATGAGCCGTTTTGATGGTTTCGCAAATCACCAACACCCCTCGCTTTTTCGACGTTTCCGCCATGGCCGTAATGAGAATTTCTTTCAACCACTGTTCCTCAGTTTCCACGCAGACATCAGGAAACTGGATGTACCGTTTGAAGTACGTTTCCGGTAGAACGAGCAGTTTGACGTGGTAGATGTTGTACATGATCTCCCGTTCATAGCTGGATCCCAGTGTCCCCGTGAAGCCGATAATGTTGGTGCCGTACTTATTGAACATGGAGTAGTTTGATAAGAAGTTGGTCGTCACGGTTTCCGAGTTGACCTTTAACGAGTGCTTCAGCTGAAGGAACTGGTGCAGACCGTTGTTCCAGTTGGTGCTGGACTGCACTACGCCGGTGGTCAGATAGTCCACCGGTTTGATCTGGCCTTCATCGACGATGTAGTGGACGTTCTCCTGGTATTTCACTGCGGCGAGTGCACTGTCAACCCACAGCGGAATTTGGTTCTGCGCAAAGTCCTTAATGTGGACCGGGAACTGCAGATCGAGCTTATCGGATTCCAGTACGGAATTAATGTATGTTTTCATGTGGTTCTTGACAAACTCCTCAAGGTTGTCCACTGCAAAGATCCGTGCTGTTTCCAAATCGACATTTGTGGCTTCCAAAATAAATCTTATGAGGTCGCGAATTGTCAGCAGTTCGTCTTGCGGGTTTGCGAACTCGTACACGAACGTGCCAATGGATTCGTCCGCTGTGATTCGGCCTTCCAGGTAGAACTGTCGCTCCCGGATGGAGAACAGGTGTGACTGGATGTGCGACAAGCGATCCCAAATGAGGCAGTACAAAACGTGCAGAGTGTCCATGCCCGGCAGAGTGGTTGACAGACGCGCAAGTTTAGCGCTGTCATCAATCAGAGCGGAATCCACTTCGTCGACGATAGCGAAGTCCGTTTTGCGACCACCCAGGGTGCCCAGTCCGCTGTACTTGTCCCGCAGATAATCAAACTGAAACTGTGCGCATTCTCCGTACACGATTTGCTGATCGTAGCACGGCTTTTTCTTGGCAACATATACGCCTTTATCGCCGTTGTGGCCGCATGTCAGCCCGAACATCTGATAGAACGGTGCCCATTCTTGCGCATCTCTTTCCGCCAGCACCGGACTACTGGTGTAAATGTCCACGGTGTGACCTTCCAAAGCCTTGACTGCCGCTAGCACCGCCACGATGGCGGATTTACCGGAGCCTGTGGCTACTTGCTGCAGCTGGCCTTTGCTTGTGTCTTTCTTCAATTTGTCCAGAGCGACCAGACAGCTCAGAATCTGCACTTTTGTCAGAACGAAATTTTTAAATTTCTCCATCGCCAGTCGCGCGATAGCTAAGGCCTCCGCTACGAACTCCGCTGGCCGGTAATCATTTTTCCTGGCAAAAGCTTGCAGCGCCCATTGGCTTATGTCCGTATCAGTCCACGTGTTCACCAGTGTGTCTGACTTGTAAACACGGCTGCGAAAATCGGCGTTGAAAATACGGAAAATCTGTAACTGCAGAATCTCCCACTCATATCCAGCTTTGACGAAACGCTCTCGTAGACAGCTCCATTTATACGACACGCGCGTGTTGTCGCGGCGAAATTCATTGACGATCTGCGCTGCCTGTTTCACGCCGTATTTGCCGTCGAAAACATTCTCACGGGTAAATTTATTCACGGTTGAAACAATCTCGGATTCGGATTTGGCCAATGAAACTGCATTGGCAAACGCGGTGAACGACGCGCCCGTTAATCGGTATTGGTACGCTTGGCCGATAGCATGTTCGAACGATTTCAGGGCGGGCGAAGCTGTTGTGCACACCGCGACAAGCTGCAGCAGACTGCGAAGTTGTACTCCATTTTTCAAGAGTTCCGTAATCACGCGTTCCATTCTCTGTCGATGAAGAATTTTTTCCGGAATGCCCTGCATAACGAAGGCGGTTCCCAGCTGCGCAGCGACCTTGTGCAGCCGTCCTGCCTTAAACGTTTGTTGTCCGAACCGATATTTTCCACCTGTCCAGTCCTTGATTGTGGTGCCCTCAAAGTAATCAATGAACCCTGTGAATTCTTGCATGTGCTCAATTTGTTCGCAGGCTGTGCAGATCGTTGTGGCCAAATCAATTCCAAATGTGGATATGAGTTGCTGCGCCAATAAGCTGAGAACCTGCGGAGATTTGGTAAAAATCACTTTTTCCGGCAATAGCTTCAAAATCACCCGTTCGGCTAGCTGTCGCTCAAAGTTCTCGCTGCTCATGCGGAGCAGGTCTGTTAACTCTGACATATCCAGTGTTTTTAATGCAGAAAGCGTTTCCGGGAGCTTTAGCGCTGAGGAAGTTAGACATGCCACTGTCAAATAATCGAAAAATTCCTCACGTTCTTCGTCACCGCGAAACTTCTGCGCTATAATCTTCACGTAATTATGTAGTTCAACAGCCGAATTGATGGAATCCGCAAAGTTTAGCACGAAATCGGATACGAGCATTAGTTGCCGCCATTTTTCTCGATCAGATCGGACCGGCTTGATGATATCAAAATCCCAGCCCGTTAAACCTAACAGAAATCCAGCGAAATCGCGATTGAATTTGGTGTCCAGCTTTAACTGTTGAGCTGACTCGTTGTCGGGAAAAATCTGCTGAAAGGCGTTGGCCGCGATTGGGTCAAAATGAATGTTGCGCTGTGCTAATAAACCGGTAATGGCAGTAATGGTTTCTGGGTTACCGGCCGGCATAACTGAATCAAACGTTCTCAGCGCAAGTACACACTGTCTTCGTACAAAACATAATGGATGCTGCAGCAGTAGAAGCAGAAACTGCAAGACTTTGGGCTGGACTGACAACTGCTTGCTGCTGCCCGCCAATTTTATCAGCGCGACCAGACACTGCAGAATGCGTATTATTCTGGTTACCGAGGGTGCGTCATCGGCGAAAGAGTTGAGGAAAACTCCGATAAATTCTTCAGGAGTGGTTGTTGCTGCTTCATCGTGCATGGAAAGTACGGTTGTCAATGCCTCCAGCAATGCATCGGCGACTGTCTCTCTTCGAGTGCGAATTTCGTGACAAAAAATTTCTATAGTTTTCGTTCGCAGTTGGCGGTTTGCACCAAGAGCCTTCAGTATCGCAGCCGATGGGATATTGTTAGCTAGAAATTCGGGAAAAGCTGGTGACTGGGTCACATCGCTTTGCCACAACCTTGTTAGCACTATCTCACCCAGCTCAAACTGCCTAATTTGGTTCTGTACATTCATCACTGCTTCTGCGGTCTTTTCCTTAGTTAACTGCTCGCATAACTGGCGAACTCTGTCCAGGCTGCCGGTTTCATTTTGGCTGTTCTGAATGGAATGTTGCTGGTCAGATGAGATGTATGCCTTCAGCTTTTCACTTAGCTGAATTCCCTTTTCCAGTCCAGTCGCTATCACCATCTGGCATCTGCCGGCAACTTCGGCATTCGTAGTGCTGAGCTGGGTAAATCCTACTGCTTCCAGCGTTTTCTCGGGCAAACGATGTATTCGCGGATAGCTCGCAATGATGCCGAGTGTTGCTAGTAAAACTTGCGGATCATTATCGCCTTCCAGGATTTTCTGCAGTCGAACTTGGCACTGCTGCGATTCGAAAAATTCAAAGTCGTCCAGTTTACAAAGCATCGGCAAATCTGCGATGACTTCCGTGTTGGTCTTGTTCTCAAGGTGCGCCAGATTGAGACTGGCCTTTACTCGCGCCGGCAACACGTGGTGCATTGATGCTAAGAACTCCGAAACCGCTTCCTTTACCGTCTTGCTGGACGCAGCAGATTGCTGCAGCTTCATTAACAGCTTGAAATCGCTATCGTCGCACAACGCCGCTTCCGCAGCGCCACTTCGATGGCATAGAACGATGAAACCGTTCAGCGCAGTTTCGATCATCTGGGCGTTTTCCAAGCTCATGGCATCCACGAAGACCGTCTTCAGTTTTTGCGGGTCCAAGTCCCTCGCGACGGACACAGAGCTGACCTGACCCGAAAGCGCCGAAAGGATATCAAGTCTCTGACGATGATTACCGCCGCTTTCCTTTCTCCAGCCATCACAGAGCTTAGCAGTAACATCACTAATTTCTGGGACCTCGAAATTGTTGTGCATCAGTTTCGTAACGATACTGAGCTTCGCACAGTTCTCCGGATTTCGGAACAAATCGGGAAACTCTCCCGAGCAGACGTTCGCTACAATTACTTGGGTGAAGCCTTTCGGCACTGGTTGATTATTTTGGACGATGGCTGAAGCCAAACGGAGCAAGGAACCTTGCACCTGTGGTTCCTCCGCATCTCTGCCAAATATACCGTCAATTATACCACGCGGGAGAATCTGCCCGTTTTCACAAACCAACAGCAAACATTCCAGGACACTCTGCACATTGATTCGCTGTCTAACGCACGACTCAAACAGCTTCTTGTTCAACATGGACATTTTTGCTCCTTGCTGGAAACAGCGTTTCAGATGTTCGAACAAACAGTTCTTTGTTCTTTGACTCAGCGGTTCGTCAAGACCGAGAGTCGGGGTTGAATAGTAACTTGCCAACAACCGTGCGGACGCAAATTCCAGATCGAACTTCTGGAAAAGGTACTGCTGAATATCTTGAATACAGATCGCTGCAAAGGTCAACAAGAAACATATTCGTTCGAAGCGTGGTTCTGTATCGAAGCGTTGCTGCACAGCATCCAACACCGCAGGATTTACGGATTGGCGAAACTTTTGCAAAACCACGGTTAAGATGTTGGCACACAGCTCGAAATTCTCACTGCCGTTTAGGAGCACATTTTCCACAGCGTTCAAGCAGTAAGCCGGCAGTCCGCGCCTCATCGTCTGTGACATCACCTGTGTGCACAAAATCTTCATAACGATTTCCTGATCGGCTTTGGCACTGGCTGATCCGTCTGCCATCAGGATTGTCGACAGTTGTTGGTGTACGGTGTCGCCGAACTCGACATCAGGGGCAGCGTTAAGCAGCACCTTTAGCACCGAGGAATTGATGGCGGTGGTAAAATCGCGGCCGCTCAGAATAATCGGTTCAAAGGTATACATCAGGGTTAGGTCGTTCAGTTCACTAGCAGTCAGGCTTTGCATTCTTTTGCTGGACATCGCCTGCTCCAGGAGGAGACAGTATGCAGCCGTGCAGTTGATCCTAACGTCGGTTACTGAGCTGGTCGTCAGCGGCACCAAAAACCACAGATATTTGTCGGTCATGTCCGAGTACCGGTTGGCTCAGTCTCAGGGTTCACCGCAACATTGACGAGCATCAGAAGGGTCTCCAGGGAATCAGTGCCCGACAGGTCAAATTTCGGATGGCTTAGAGCTTTGAGGATTATTCCGATCACGCCTTGGATGTACAGCTTCCGCTGCGATGCGGAATCCTTTTCGTTAAATCTAGAACAAATGCGATGGTATGTGTAAGCTGTAAAGCTCAGTATTAATGGAGTGACCCAGTAGACCGTATAAAGTTTGTACAGATCCACTAAAACTTCTCGCGCACTCTCGAACTCTCTGCCTCTATCGCGTTGTATCCAAAGGATTAAACTACCGACTGCGGGAACAAAGCGCACACGCAACAACGGTTGAGGGAACCAGGCCAGTGCAATGGACCAAGTATGTATAACCATGTGTGAATGTACCAATCGTCGTGTTTAATACTGTACAATCCGATTATCTGTTTCAAGGTTTCGAAATTCAATAATAAGCTGCAGAATAATCCTACTTTATCATGTCCTCATAATTGTGCTCATTTTTGCATTAAATTTTTGAGAAGGTCGGGCAATAACACGACTGAGGCCGGCAAACCCATCCGGGCGGAAAAACCGTACGCCGGACAACTTTTGCACATAGACCGGCAAAACCGTCCGGGCGTGATTGTGGCTCCCGTCATGTCAGAATGTTCAGAAATGAAAAAATTTTGGGTGAGAAAAATTTATGGCGGACGAACTATTGGACCGCCGTACGACTTTGCTGTTTATCCGTCCGGACGGTTTTACCGGTTACACACGACTAGCGATGCATCAGCACTGCATCTAAACGTGTGATCCGTTCACTTCAAGTCTTCAACGTACTTGTCATACGCTTGTAACCGCACGTTGCGCGCTTAATTCGTTTCCACATCAATGCGGATTAATCATTTGGCTATCGTCTACAAGATCGTAATTCAAAAGCTGTTTACGCGGTGAATACGCGCAAGTGAAGTTTCGGTTTTGCTTGCGAACTTAGTGCAAGTTTGTCTGCCATTTTCTTATACGCGAGCGAAACAAAAAAAGAGGCTGTTCTAGGGATGTGGATTAGCTTAGTCGACAGTAAGTCCAGATATTGCGTTACCTGGTGTATACCGTCGATGATTCCTTGAAGGTCATCACGAACGCAGGAATAGCGCCCAGCACGGCTTCTGGAAGCTGATCCTGAGGATGCACCAACAGGTCATCGAGAACAGCCGCCACTGGCGAAGCTGTGTCCAGATCGTAATCACATTTCTTACTTCCTGTTAAAATGTCAACCAGTATGGCGGAATAACAAAGGCTTTTCTCCAGTTCCACTGCATGAACCGGATTAGCGACTTGCTCCCAAATGTATTCGATGCCTTGTCTGGCCATCTCATCTGGTTTCCCTGTGGCATTCTTCAGTGTCTCAAGGGCATCACGAAACGTATGCTCCAAGTTGCTGTCGTCTTTCTTAAGAATCACCCACAAGATTTTCTTCATGTCTCGCGTACACTCGCTGCTTTTCCTGTGGAAGTTGACTAGTATTTTCGAGACCTTTTCCGGGAGTTTTCCGTTGCTTCTTTCAGCGCACAACTGAAACATTTTGAGAAAGTTTAAGCGACAGTCGTCATAGTAACTGTTCAATGACGCATCAAATGCGGCCTTTGCCAGTTCGAGCTGTAAGTCATCGTCCACTTTCTGATTTTTGGCGATAACCGAGAACGCTAGGGCAATGTTGGCGAAGATTGCATTGCGACCTTGCACCCAACCTATCGCATAACCGTAACAGAATTTATTCTTGAGGTAAGCAATATCTTCGTCGCACACGGAAGTGCTCGCCTTGGCGCGGGCCAGAAGAATATCGACTTCCTGAGCAGTTGTCCGGAAATAGGAACGGACGCTGCTGCCTGAGCTGCTCAACGCCGGGTTGATTTCCATTTTTTGTTCGCTGCCACGACTGCTAGCGCGGCTGCTGTTCAACGCCTTTGCCAGGTCAATCCGCTGCAATTCCGTTTTCTCTGACATGTTCTCTTTGTAAACTGTTGTGACCGTTTGTTGGGTCTTAACAGCGTCCGCTTTCACTGCATTTTTGCCGGCCTTTACGCATCTTCCCAGCATCTCTTGTCCGCTTTCGAACAGGCGATTGGCGGCCTTACCGTGCTGATCACTATTAAAATCCATCACCGGCGCTTCACGACAATTTTCCTCTTGGACCGATAGCGATACTCCATGTGTCAGCAATGCCTCTTGGAGCCGGGCTTTTGCATCAGCGTTTACAGCGGGAATGTATCGGCGGGCTAGTTCGATCAGACGGCTACGGCTTCCTTGAACAGTTTCTCCTTGTTCACCGAGCTTCAGAACGGCACAGTGCATCAGCTGAGAGACAGTCTCTTGGGTATGCCAAGGCAGGTCCCGAAAAGCGTCGTTGACGTCCGCATTCAGAACGGTGCCGCACGCACCAGCAATGGCGTCCACGCTAACACTTGTTGGGTCGTGCTGTGAGCAGTATTTCAAGCACTGCGCGATTTGGTAGTTCAGGAAACTAACGTCTGATATTTCCGGGTTCTTGTCATTAACCGTGCATAGTTTGGAAAGCAGGTACTGCATCACCGACTGCGGTAGACCGTGGCGTCGGGATAAGTATTTTAAAGCCGAAATGACCGAAAGGCTTGTTTCGCCCACAGGGAAGATCTTAAGCAGGTCCGGCGTTGAGCCGAATTTATCCCACGCTTCCGCAAGCTTGTTGCGCACCGTTTTTGAATCGGGATCGTGAACATATTCCATGAATATGGTCCTCATTTTTGCAGCGGAAGTGGAGAGTGCTGCTGATTGGTGCACTACAAAAAAAGGAACAACAAAAAAACCGTGTTTTATGAATGTTGAGATGTTTGTCCAATAATGTACGTAGTTTTCCACCACCGCGTCTCGACGTTCCCGAATATCTGCGACCACCACCTACCAGCCATAAATTACCGTAGGTATGTTATAGCTTATTGGGAAATCCCTACCTGTACCTGCCTCATAACGGAAGGATACTACATTTTTCAATACTGACGATATGTCACAAGAGTGGGAGAAGCTACCGTGGCGCTGTAGCAGCATCGGCTGATTACTCAAGGCGGTCAACATCTTACAATTTTTTAGCTGGCTATAAACGAAGTTAAATAAATATAACTTATAAATTATTGTTTGGGGTCACTTTTTCTTGTTGGGTTTTACCCGGCACTCAGGTTAAATACTGCCACAAGTACAGAAAGACAGAGTTAGAAGTGTGCGCTCGTCGAATAGCGCTCGTCGAATCGACGAATAGCCAGCGTTTGAATGAAATGTCCCGGTACATCGTATCAAATTCGGGTATGCCGACTGAAACGTTCAATTTGCGCGCACTCCCCAAAACCTTTTATATTACTTTCATTTTGCATATACACGCGCAGCATACGGTTGCCGAGATGTGGTAACTTTTAATGTACGGTAAGTTTAAACGGGATTTGATGTACCAAACGTCCGGTTGTTATCCAATCTTCCAAAGCACTGCTGGAGAATTCGGCTACATCTTGAAGACGACTTTGTACCAAATTCCGTTCGCAGCGTTATTTTTCAGTTCAAAATATATCTCGACAATTTTACAATTCATTTTAAAATTTCAGAGAAAAAAGTTGGTGCAAAACCGTCTTCTATACGCATGCTATTTTCAGCAAAATTTAAAGAGGATCGGACAATAACTAGACCTTTGCCACATCGAAACGCGTTCAAACTTTTGGTCGATTAAAAGTGACCAGATATTATCAGCAAACGGATGTTGTGCGCGGATGTTGTGCGCATCGGTGCAAGTAAAAGCTCTAATGGGTGTTCCCGAATTCGGCACCATATACGGGACCATTATTTTCCCTTAATGTGGCTTTTTCCTCAGCCATATCTGTGCAGTTAAGACAGTTACGAGATCCCGCCAGATTGCCAGCGCCTTTGTATTTAAAACCTGAGCGCGCATGTAAAGATATCCCTGGGACACAGACCACGGCAGCTGTTGCATGTTTCACAAACCGGTTTCTGGTACACTTAGGAACACTCAAAAATGAATATGCGCGCACTGGTACAACAAAATTTTTATTGTGTGACGGTCCGGCGGAAACTCATAGCTAAATGTTTTATTTTCGAATAGCACTCCCTATTTTCTGAAAAACTGATCGAAATACAGTCATTTTCCGTCTTAATGCAAGGCATGTCAAGTAGAGCGATGCATTCTTGCACTAACAACGATTACAATAATTATGTCATACAGTCTGTACATCGGTACGCAATAGTTCGTACCAATGTCGGCTGACACAGATTATTTATTCTGCCACCACCAGAGCTGTCGGCTTAACGATAAGCACTTAATTTCTTACGCTGAAAATCCGCGTCCGTAGTTGAATCCATTTTTTGCTCTCCGTTTTCATGCGCTCTGACTCTCGCCGCAAGATAATGCTCGTTTCCGTCTATCACTTTGTGCAACAATCTGAATGGCAAAAGGGCATATATTTCGCAGAAAACACACTGAAAACGTTAACGATCCCTCCGTGTAGTTTAAGCTACTGTCATAAATAGCTAACGTTGTCGTAAAATATCGCCTTATGGCTGTAATAATTTACTAGTGACTGACTGCCAGTATACGGGAATAAATTTACTGCAAGGCAATTAAGATGCAGCAATGTTACACGCTGCGTGTATGATGTAACCATGCCTAATGGATTTTAAATGGATTCTTACCCGCGATTTCCAATTAATTGCCTCCGGCTTTTTTAAGTTAACGTGTTCCACGGAAGAATTTAACTGCAGCAGACGTAAGTACACACGTTACCAAAATGTAGCAGTTCTCGATTATCTGGTTTTTAATCGATCTGTTGCAGATTGCGTACTTAGGCAGGCCACAAAACTTAACTTGGATAAAATGCATTGATAAGCGGAGCCGTTTAAAAAGCGACAGTCAGACACAGTTATGCGCTGTATTCACGTGCAACGTGGATTCGCATTAAATATTCTGAGCATGCAGCAGGAAGTTAGTAATGCTGCTCTGCGTACATAACTGTCTGGCAGCCGGCTTGTGAAGTGTTTTAAACGAGGTTGCACGTCATCATGTC